GTACATCGGTTAGTCTGCTTTTTATTCGCTTGATCATCGCGAACACGTGTTCTTTGAGGGACGTGCTTTTTATGCTAATGTCGCTGATGTGATTGGAAAATATAATCTTTTCTATGTAATATATAAATGAATTTTTGTATCTATTTGAAATAGCTGATTAAGAATTCTTTAGTTCTGGAGGCAACAATGTTACTTCAATAATTTGTTGTAAAAAATTTTAAGAATATTGTCTGTTCTTATAGGGGTCTCATAATTCTGTTAACAATCTTCCTATCTCTTCAGGGTACAGATAAGAAGACAGCCTAAGAATTTTGAGACTAGAAAAATAAAAAAAGGACTCACCGCGAAGAACGTCAGCAGGGATGAGTCTTCTGAATGTTTTGGGACGTTCTTCCTCCTTCTCTTCAGCTGCGAAGACGACCACGACGACAAGCAACAAGATTGGAGCTAGCTTCATGATTTCTGGACGATTCCACGGAGCGAAGGAAGGAGAGAAGAAGACTTAGCGAGTCTGTCCGAAGATTGATAGGAAAAAAGGATCTTCGTGTACCGATTAAGACTGGTTAGGCCTGATTCTCGTACCGTCATTTTATACTTGTTCATGGGGCGGGGTCCTGTCCGTCCCCACCAAAACATTTATGGTCTCTCACCTCTTGAACCACCAGTCACTAAAGAATCGTTCACGTACCGATGCCTCGATCGTGGAAACGTACATGTACACATCATCCGTACATAAACATGTACATAACTCTCTCGCACGCTATTTAAATATGTAAATCGAATTAAATCCACGACGAATGCATTCCATTTACGAATGATACATTTGACAAAGTGGGTTACGGATTTGGTCTGCAATTCTTTTCTTTTCTTTTTTTTTTTTTTATTTCGATCCCTTTCCGCTCTTCTCTTGAATCAGTGCTATATTTTTGCTTTACTCAACACAAGGGAAAAAAACGGGTCCAAAGCGAACACGGTTTGCCTTTCGTTCTTTACTACGTCTCGCGTGAATCTTTCTTAGAATGAAATCGTCTGAGAAGGCGCGATTACAGAAGCTTGTAAAAGCGTATCGAGTAATTAACTATCAAGAATCCATTACTCGTTGTTCTCCCGTTTCGTTAAACGCAATTAAACCACGCTTTGCTACTTAACTTTCGCTGTTTCGTGAAACATATTTCACGCACGTCTAACCGCCAGTGTCGTGATTGAAAATCGAACAGAGAAAATTATCGTTCCGGTGGAAACGGACAGTTTCTTCCGGACAATTTGAAGCGACAAGTAGGAAGGAATTAAGTCCAAGTACTTTATGGTTTAATAACGGTTACGTAAACACCGTGAAACTTAACACGAGGAACTTCAATAAGATCAGTTCCAGTGTTCTTCTTTCAAGCGTGAAAACAGTGTCGGAGAAAATTTGCGACGATTAGATGATTATGTTAGCATTTCCTAAGGAGAAAGACGGTATAGGTAGAGAAGGCTCCATCATTCGTTTTAACCCTTGCAATCTACTGCACAAGCAGTAGACATTTTGGTACATAAGTTCCAAGATGATAAAAATATTGAGCTGGGCTTATATCGTCTTTCCTCCTTGGAGAATATTAGCGTGCTCGACTCTACTTAACAACAGGTTTATTTAACAGACATCAGATGCAATTAACAAGATGAAACGATACGAAGAAGCGTGGTCATGGCGTAAAATGATGCGATAGCGAGATGAAAGTGAAGAAGAAAGGGAAAGTTGCCCACTGGCATCCTCCTTCTAAGTGAAGAGGAGACTGTAACCTTCTAAATCACTGGTTCAGTGCAAGTTCGTGGTATTTCCAAGCGTTAGAACGCTATCGTTTTGCAAACCGGTACATAATGTACCAAAGATCCTAACTTTGAGTTTGTATTAACATTATTTTTGTGTTTTCAGGAATATGATACCTAAGGTGATGAAATTGATGTTGAAGGGCCAGAGGGACTATTTGGAAATGGATAGATTCGACTTGATGATCTACAAATTAATTGTGTCTCTCAGGTATGTAGTACAACCCATTGGAAACTTGGAATTAATAATTACTGTAAGGTTTCACGGTACTCAACGAGGATGGAAAATTTCTAGAAGGAAATAAGTACACCTATTTGACTGTACGAGTTTATTGGCCGCATGTCTGCGCGAGGGGTCAAAGAGAAAGGTGTGCAAGGAATAATATTAAAAACGCGTGTTCATTTGCTACAACAGTTTAATAGTGGCATCCTTACATCGATTTTCACGTAATCGTTGTTTAAATTTTATCTTTTCTCGTTTACTGTCTTCTTGATCCTAGAATATACTCTGCTTGAAAAGTAAGTGTGCATCATCTCGAACTGTTTCCAAACTGTATTATCACACACCTAGATCCAACCTCGGTAATCGGGCATTTAATCCCAGCCGGAAGAAGCTTTATCGACCTTTTCCGTCGTGATTATTTTCTTAGATTGAATCTCCACTTTCGATGATTTCGGTAAACTAAGCTCTCCTTTCTCAGCTCCGCCCTCTGCGGCCGCTTCAGCGGTAGCTGATGCTGATGCGGCGACGGCCATCGTTTCGGCGGATGCCGAAGCAGCGGCTTGGCTTACACCGGCAGTGTTCTCAGCCTGGGCGGAAGCTTCAACTTCCGCTTGAGCTATGGCATTAACGGAGGCTGCGCGCGCGGCAGCGGCGTCGGCGATCCTTGTTGCTTTTGCGGCTGCTGCGGCCGCGGATGCGGCTGCGGCTTCGGCTTTAACAGCGATTTGGGCCAATTGCAAGGCTACTTTAGTCGCAACGGCTGCTGCGGCGGTCTTGGCTTGGGCCTCGGCAGCTGCTGCGTCTTCCGCTTGTGCGAGTTCGTTCGCTCTTTCCGACTGTAAGGCAGCACGAGCGTTTGCGGCTGCGGCGTTCCTTGCGAGGACCTCTGCCCTTCCGGCGGCTGCTTTGGCTTTATCTACAATGTCTTCGGCTTGCATCGCAGCGTTCCTGGTCGCCAGCGACAACTTCATAGCTTTCTCGGACTGGGCAGCTGCTTTCCCTTGCGCTCCGGCTGCGTTGGCCGCCAAATTTGCCGCGTCCATAGACAGCGCGCTGGCAGTGCCAGCAGACTGAGCCGCGATCGCTGACTGGGTTGCCGCTGAAGCTTGCGAATTAGCGGCTGCTTCTCCAGTACCCAAGTTATTGGCTATTGCCTCGCCAGATGCGGCTGCTGTCTCCGCCATACCGGTTCCCACTGCCGCACCCTCGATCGCCACAGCCTTCCCCTTCGACTGTGATTCCCAGCCGGTACTGGATTTACTGTCCCATACATTGCTGGATTTCGAGTCCCACCCGCTATTCCATTCCTTCTTTTCGCGGACCTGGACCTGGACCTGCTTCTTTTTCACTGTTCCATGGTTCGATTCCTGCCCGATTGAGCCGTCGGCATTAGCCAGACCCCAGACGAGAAGGGATGCCGCGAGTAGCGCTGGAATCTTCATCTTCGTGGAAACTTCGCAAGATTGATGCCGAACGAGCCAGGGTAACGCGGTTTTATACGGTTCACGCCAATTGTGAAAATAATATCTGTTGTCATTTTGTTCACCGCTTCTCTCGCACCCTTCTAAATATTAGTTTTATGGTTTATTTAGCTGGTCCCGCTTCTGGAACCGTGCTGTTTGTTTCGATTCGAGGACTTTTGTAATGTTATTCGAATTTTAGAGGGGTGTGATTACCCAGGGAATTTTGAAATTGGGAAATGTTTTTTCAATTGCACTTTATGGCACGTGAATCGGGTGTTTATTTTTTTATTTTTGGCATAATATGAATTAAGACCACAGAATGAACTTTGCTTCTGTAAAAGTTGACATTCAACGATACGCGATTATAAATGGCTATAATTTTAATATACGTCATTAGTTTTTTAAATACAAAACATTGTCTCTATTGTACTAATTAAAATTATACTTAACTTTTACTGGTATGGTAGATTAGGCTGGTAGTTTCGAGCTTTTTAAACTGATCAAGCTATCTTTTGCCTTGATATTTTTTATTTGTATCTCTGCACTATACAAAATTGATATTGAATAGAGTTTTTCAAAAAGAAACTGGATTTATTATTTTCATTTGTTCTAATGGTAGAAATCACATTATCTATATAAAATAAATTTATTACCTTCACAAGCAACGTTTTATCAAATTGTAAAAAAGAAATACATCAATTAGAAATTCCTTATCTTTGAAATAGGATTAATAGCTAAAAAAGAAACTGGGTACTGGAAATGTTTAAAGGTTCTACTAAATAAAAGAATAAAGTAAAACTGCAAATACCATCAAGAGATTTGCTAATAAAATAACTTTATTTATACATCTGGAATAATATATTGATTCGTTCCGTGTGTTTAATACAGTTGTCAAATATTATTATTAAATTCTATTTGTGTTAAATAAGCATTCCTTTCCTGCGCACGGTAAACAACATTCACCTGTGTATGCATAATAATTCAATATTTATCGATCATATCAACTGTGTATAATTAGGTAATCATACATAATACATTTAAAGACCTGGATAAAAGTCATGTCAACATAATATGGTGAAACGTTATTAACCACTTATGTTAATGTAATTTTTGTTAGATCTGGGAGAAATTCAATGAATTCTGTTATATATTTCATATTTATTGATAATGCGTTAATTAACACACTTCTTTGTATTTAATTATGTATTTCAGATGTATACATTAGATACATTTATGTAATATTATCATAAGAAATTGAAATATCTGTTAAATATTCGCAAATTGTATAGAATGAAAAGTATCAATCATAGTAATACTATTTTAAAAAATTTCAGGTTTAAATCATTGGATGCATGACCTTAATCAACTCGAGGAAGTATCCTGAACGTTTTATAACGAATACTTGAATCATGAAAAACAAGGAACGAAAGGTATACAATACAAAAATCAAAGGACATATCTGCTAAAACAGTGGATCTTTATTGTCACGTAGGTAAGTTCACTTCGACAATGTTAGTATCTTTTTTTTTTTTAATGTTTAATCAACCCTCTGTAGACGCTGCTCTAATCATACAATAATTCAACTGTCTTTGGAATCCAATACGTTCAACTGTCTAAAAGGGAAATATGTCCCCGCTATCATTTGGATCAGACTTTGATTTATTCCCATCCCTTTTTGCTGGATCCGCCTTTTCCTAACCAAGCGCTGGCTTTAGCTAAGGCCTTAGCTTGTACGATTTCTTGAGCCCCGGCGCCACCGTCCTCTCCAAGACCAACGATCGCACCGTCTCCAATAGCTGCGGCCGCCGTTGTTTTCGCGGCTGCCGAAGCTTCTAATTGAGCGGCGTCCGTGTCTTGGGATGCGGAATTCGCGGATGCTTCACGGGCAGCTCTACCTTCGATTCTTGCGGCTACTTGGGCCTCGTTGGTCGCGGCTTGTTGGGCGCTGTCGGCGTCGGATGCTAGCGAGGCTGCCCTGCCGGCTTCAGCCGCGGTGGCCTCGGACGATTGAGTGGTCTTCGCTTGTGCGCCGGCTGCGGCCGCTGAAAGGCTTGACGCTATTTGTCCGAGCGCCCTCGAAACGTCGGCGATTTCTAATGCCCTCTCGGTTGCTGCTGCCTCGGCGGCTGCTGCGGCGTTCACGCGTTCCTGGTAATTGCTGGCGAGGTTCTGCGCTGCTGTGGCTACCTGGGCAGCGCCTTGAGTTCGTTGAAGGGCGGCCTGAGCGACGGAGCCCGCTGCCTCGGCACGGCTCGACAAGGCAAGCTGTTCGGTTTGAACTTCCAGGGCGGCTTGAGCCAGAGCTTCGGCCTTCTCTTGTAACATCAATGCTTGTTTAACAGCCGCGGCTGCTTTGGCCGAAAGGGCCGCCGATCTCGCTGTTGTTTTCACCACAGCATCAGCGATATTCATTGCGGACGCTTTCACCAAACCCGCAGCCTTCTCTTCGGCCGCGGCGCTAGCTTTGGTTCTTCCCAGAGAAATGTGCACTTTCTTGCCGAGTCCCAACATTGGCGCACCGTTCTCGTGTCTCATCGCGCTGGTCATCACCTTCGATAGCAGCATCTTCTCTAGCGAGTGGCCATCCTTCTGGGATAGCATTGAATGATCATCGTCGATGGAAGCGCCCACGAGGCCCCAAGTGAGCAGGGACGTCACAAGTATCGCTGGGATCTTCATGTTCGATAGAACTCCGCAGATTGGTGCCGATTATTCGGAGAGACCAGGTTATATACGGGCTATCGCAATTGTATAAACATTCTGGGTATTAATGTGTTGTTTGGAAATATTTTCTTACCCCCGGCACACGGGTATATCTTCATCCTCGTTGTCGCACGTCCCGCGCGTCTTCTTTTTCTTCGTGTTTACCTTTAATCGGTAGTATTGTCAGGTGTGATTTGTTTTTTCATCGATCACGTGTAAAATATTGCTTCAGTGTATTGGCGTTCCAAGTTAAATATTTAGTATAATAATAAGGGAATCGAAAAGGATTGTTGTTGCTGTTTCAGTTCATACAGGGAGGCGAATTTTTGTCATTGTTGGATGTTGTTCGTTGATCGTGTATAGAATGATTATTATTAGACGTTTTGTTATGGATAATGGTCTTCATTCTTCTTTTCGTTTCTTTGAATAGCTTATCAAGGAAACGTGGCTCGAAATTTAACGTAATCTTTGTTACAGATACATACATCGTATAGCCAGTTTGATGGAAATGTTTGATTCAAACTTTAGGGAGTAACTGTTTTTCTGATCGCTAAATTTAATCTATTTAAATAAGATGAACCGTGAATATGTCAAGTTATTTAAAGTTCAAGTAAGGGGTTCCAATAGAAAGTAATCTTTCAAGGCTGATTATGAAACAGGAGTTTTTAATATTCATTAAAAATTTACATATCGAATAATGAACTTATTTTTACATTATACATAAATTAAAAATTATGTTTCGTAAAGGTATTTTATTGTTGATATTTCAGGGACCTTAATGATAACATTTTTTCAGTATTTCGTAAACAATTTATTTATAACATTTCATGCATTCTTATTCTCATCGCTGCATTGCCAGCTATTAAATTCTAATTTTATAACAAATGGAAGAATTTTATAAAAGAGTGTATAAAAATATACATTAGAGGGTACTTCACAAATTATGTATAAAAAGATCACAATCATTATCTTATCAAACAATTTGTATGGAAGTTTTGATAATAATTGATCAAACCATCTAATTAGTTCAACAACATAAAGCAACATTAAATGTAGCTTAAATTTTCAAAATTCTTACGTTCATTAATTTCGTTTTAAATTATTTCTACATGATTCAAAGATTCTTTTATCTTGTTAAAATTTTTTTTTATAATAATTACTTCATGAAACATATTAGATCTTATAAAATCATTGTTTCGAAAGGTAGAAATATCAAAAAGAGATTTCTCTGACTAATAAAATAAAAAGATAAATATCTTATGAAACGAATAACTTTATTAAATATGTATCTCTTATGCATAGGTTGACAGAAGTTAGAGGGATTTGGAATGCAGGAAGAAATCAATTCGAAAGAAAGAAACGTTCGTCGGGTTGCTACGACAATTTATTTCCGCTAATACATTACACGGACGAATCTCAGCTGTTTTTAATCATTCATATCTGTCTTCATAATCATTCCCGGTAAATCGATCATATTTAATGAAATTATTCGATAAATAATCGCGTCTGTATCAGATGACAACGATCGTTAAATCATGTTTGCCTCTTAACTCGCCCCTAAAAAAAACTGCTGGCTAATATTCTCGATCTTCGTCAACTCCTTTAGACGGACCCGGACTTCCATCCTTTGACTTGGACGTCTGATTTGCTCGAGCTGATCTGTTTCGCCCATGATGAAGCTTTGGATGCAGCATCAGCTTCAGCGGCAGCCACCGTTTGGATAATGGCCAACAAGGTTTGAAGTCGTCCTACAGCGGTACCTTCAGCGTTCGCTGCTTGACCTTCGATTTTCACGGCGTTGGAAGATTGAGTCGTGGCACCGGATTGAGCAGACAGTGCCTTTTCTACCGCGTTTCTAGCCCGTGCGATTGCGACTTGCGCGATTGCGGCAAGTTTGGTAGCCAAAGCTTCTTCCTTGGCCGCGAGTCGTGCTTTGGCCAACAGTTGGGCCGCTGCGTTCGCCGCCATCTTTGCTTTAACTTCAGCTTCAGCGGCAGCTTTAGCCTCGGCAGCTTGGGCCTTCTTGGCGATGATCGAGTCGGCATTGGCCTTCACTTGGGCTTGGGCAGCAGCCTCGGCTGTGGTCGCCGATGCCTGCGTTGCTGCCTTGGCGGCAGCTGTCAGCTCGGCTGCCCTCCTAGCAGCAGATACCAGTGCCTCGGCAGCCTTCGCAGCTGTAGTCAATCTTTGACGCGCGATCTCGCTCAGTTTGATGGCCTCCTCGCGTTTGGAGATTGCCATCAAGATGGCTGCCTTGGCTCCAGCCTCGGCATTCTCGGTATCGGCGGCTTGCGAAGCCGCGGCCTTAGCTGCGGTCCGCGCGGCTGCGCCCAAATCAACGTTCAACCCTACACTCTCTCCTGCTCGGACCACGTTCAATGCGTCTTGGACGGATATCGCTCCCGCGTCCGATGCATCGCCTCTCACACGTGCTGTTCCGACCTTAATCGATGACGACGATACTGAGGATTTCTCGAGGCCATGGCTATTCTCGACACCCACCACGCGGCCCTCGGCCAGCCCCCAGACGAGCAGAGACGTGACGAGTAATGCTGGGATCTTCATGTTCGACGCAGCTTCGCTGATTGATGCCGAACGGGACGATCACCGTTGGTTATATACCGTCACGACAATTGTGAAAACAATCGTTGTTATTCTTTTTTCGACTAAATTGTTCGACCCGCTTGCCTCTAACCTGGTGAAATATTATTCCAACGAATCGGTGGGAGAGGAAGGGAGATTTTGCTCGTTCTTCTTGATTATGGTTTATTTAAGTGTTTCAGACCATGGTGAGGACTAATATATTTTTTTTCTCTTTTAGGTATTTGGGAGGAGGTGCTTTGTTTCTAGCTGATGGAGAATGGATCAGATGGGATTTTATAGCGTTAGATGGACAGGTGTTTGAAAATAATGAGTGATTCGGTATTTTGAAATTTAAAATAGGTAATTATTCTTCTATTTTATTAGGTATATTATTCTTTTATTGATACAGACTTCATCTAATCAACCCTATTTATGAGGATTGAAGATTTTGTTAAACATCTTTGCATTCTTTGAGAAATTTCTCTTTGTAAACGTATCTTCTGTTTCGTCGATGCAATTCTCTCGATTATAAAGAAATTTATATTTATGTTTGCTTAATAAAGATCAATATAGGAATTCCGTATTTGCACTAAGCCACGCGATCGTACTCCAACGCTGGATTTGATTAATTAATCTTATGACTGTTTATACTAAATGGTAGTCTATCTTACAAATAAAACGAACACGTGTGTAAACAACATAAGGAATATCTTCATTCTTTACAACGATATTTTGTTTTAACAATTGTAAACTGGTACAACTTAATTCATGTTGTGTTTCAATATTGGAACAGATGTGTTGGTGATAATCCGGTGTAATTGAGTGACTTTTAACGATAATGGATTAGATTGATAGGTGTTACTATTTCTGGGCTAATAAAATGATGCATTTCCAGGTTTATTGATAATTTTTATTACATTATTGCATATTATTAGGCCTACCATTTGTAACAGTTATTAATTATAAACGGTGATCACTCGGGTATAAAGTTGAGATTAAAGTAATTGTACACATAAGATTATTATTCATCACACGTAAAATTTAATAAACCAATACGGTGAATAATTTGTCTTTCTCTGTAAGATTAGTATACTATAAAGTAGTGTTTATGGTGACAGTTATTTATATTAAAGAGGATTATTTAAAACCATAAATTCCTATCAGAATATTATTTAAAAGTTATGGTTATAAAAAGCAAATGCTTATATCTTGTTTATAATTTTCAGGTATTTATTGAAGAACAGTTTCTGAAGCAAGAATATGTCAATGTTTTGTTAGTTGACAAAGGACAATGCTGTCAAAACCATGGTAGAAGGAAGAAAGAAAGACATTCTTATACTGATAATCATTTATTTAATTTCGAAAGAAAAATATGAACATAATAGTCAGAGCTACGTACAGAGTACCATCTGATTAAACGAGGAGAAATGGGAGCTTTAAGAACAGAATATACGAGAGTCTAATTATCCAGTTCATCATCATACAATACAATTAAAATTGAATTTCATCTCTTGTACGAGAATACCGAAGAGGCAACGCAAAGGAACAACACCATAGGGCTTTGTACATGCTAAACCAATTTATTTTCATCGTTACAATCTCTTTCTATAGGCATCATTGACACGTTATGTTATTTTTTTTTTTCCTCTAGCGAAATATCTAAATTGCATTTTCTACAACGCCCAAGTAGCATTGTTCAAACTTCTCGTAACTCGAGACTCGTTCAGCTCCCTAAAGGAATTCCCTCTTTAATGTGACCAGGAGCCGCTGCTTTCGCTATGGACGTTCTTAACGTCAACCTGTTTAACGTCAACCTCGATCTTCTCCTCCTTAGACGATTGCCAGGACGATTCATGTTTAGGAATGATCACTTTCTGCGGCACCTTCACGATTCTCTTCGCTGAGTCGATGTTGGCCCCTATCACAGCGGCTTCATTGTTCCTGGCGCTGGATTTGGCAATTGCCTGTGCCTTCATCGATAGACCGGCGTCGATCTCTCTGCTCTTTTGATCGATGGCGGCGATCAATTGGGCAACCTCGTTTCTTGCTTCAGCTTCGGCGGCGCTATTGGCACCATCCCTAGCGGCCACTTTAGCGGAGGCGAGAGCTGCCATGGCTGCTCTGGCTTCAGCTTTCGCGGCTGTTGCCTTTGCGAGGATCATTACAGCGGCTCTGTTGGCTTGCGCTGCTGCTTTCGCGGCGTTGCTCGCGGCTGCAGCTTTGTTGGCTGCTTCCATTGCCTTCTCCTTGGATTTAAGCGAAAGGGCAGCCTGTACCTGTACAGCCTTCGCGGCTATCGCGGCTTCGAGGGCCGCGGTCGATGCAGCTTCGGCGGCCGATCTCGCGCCGCTCGCAGCTTCCTTAGCCGCGGCGGTGGCTTGCGCCGCGATTGCTCTAGCCTCTAACTGTGCGTTTTGCTCTGCTGTTGCAGCTTCCTCGGCGGCCTTCGACTTAGCAGCAGCCTGGGACTGCAGCATCGCGGATTGTTCGCTCAGCTTCGCCGTTTGATCGGCCAAACCACGCGCCTTAGCCGCTTCACCCGCGGCGGCTCCCGATTGAATTGCGGCTTCCTTCTGCGAGGCTTCGGCTACCTGTCCAGCTCGGAGACCAGCCTTCGCGGACACCGCCGCCGACAAGGTGATTGACGCGCCACCTTTTGCCATCTCGAGTAACGGAATGCCCTTGCCACCGTGGTGACCATCGCTGGCGGACACGGACCCCCAGACGAAGAGGCACGTTGCGAGCAGTGCTGGAATCTTCATGTTCGACGACGCTTCGCGGATTGATGCCCGGCATCGACCAACCAACGACTTTATACCGTCACGGCCAATTGTCCAAACAATCCCCCACGTGTCTGATTGTGAACAACATTCGATAATATTGTTTCAGGAATCATCCAGCTTGGATCTCCGACCGTGTTGGCCGTGTTTTGTTAAGTGCCACTACCTAAATCTTGCATCGTGAATGGAGGACGGTTGGATGAAATTTTGTAAATCGACCGGAGAGATTGATGTTTGCATGACCTTCGTGGACGATCCGCGACAGGCGTCTTGAGAGGGCTGAGAATTATTTTTCTGGTAAAAGAGGGTGAATAGCATTGATTTGATGAGACACACGAGGAACGATTGAAATTTTTGTAGCATAGAAAAGGGTTTTTATTTTTTAGAACGATATATCTGTTTATACTATTTTGGTATAGTCTCTTTGGATACTTTTTATGCGACGAAATGAGAACGCAGATGGTTCAAATATTTTTTCTTTTTTAAAATACAATTTTGATAAGAAGATAGATTTACCAGTGTATAATAACTTTGTTTATTGAGATTATAGAAGTAAAGTAGTTTCATTATTTTCAGTATCACGAAATCATATTTATCTTTCTGCAATATCTATTGATCCATAAATTCATAGTAATATGTCTTACTTATAATACATATTAAAAACTATAGGATTTTATTATGTGTACTATTGAAACTAACATTGAATTCTACTTTAATACTTTTTGAATATAGAAAATCATTGTTTTATGTTTCTCACTATCTGCTCAGTATTTTAACAATTTTCAGTGCCAAATATTTCAATCTCTAACTTATCTTAAAGAACATGAAACACGCCTTAAGATATACAATATTTTTCAATATATTAATTTTCTCAGGTTGACAAATGAGACCAAGCCATACTTTTTCATCAAATAATTTTATTGATAAACTTTAATAACATCGTAGCGTACAGTATCTTTTTTAATTATTCTAAATTTAAAATATTATTTTCAGATTCTACAGTATTCTACAACATCTAAATCTTCCAGAGAGAAAGAAACTTTCTATAAAGGGATTGAAGGGAAAGAAAAATAAAAGAACATCTCCATTGCTTCAATTCTATATTTATCAAATTTCATATCTCATCTATGATCATAAGGTATCATTTCCCTCTATTTTTAAATTTTCCCCGTACATTTAATCTCGTTAATGGAGATTCTTCGCAACACCATTGACCGCTTTCTTTAATTCTTTAGCCTGTGCCAAATTGGAGTCAGCAGTCTCTCCTAATCCAACGATAACTCCATCCCCGATAGCTCCGGCCGCCGATGCTCGAGCTGCAGCTTCCGCTTCGATGATGGCCGCCTCCACATCCGATCTCGCCGAAGCAGCCATCACGTCTCTAGCCACCAGGCTGGTCTCCGCGCCTAGGACATTCGCTTCGTCCAGTGCAGCCTTCTGCGCGGAATTCGCGTCCTTAGCGAGCGTTCTTGCGTTTCTTTGTAACTTTTCAAGCTCCTCGCTTGCAGCCGCCGCAGACCCAGAGGCTTCAGCCGCCGAATTTGATTTTAATTTAGATTGATTGGCAATGTTCTTCGACTTGGTAGCTAATTCAATCGCGTACTCAACAGCTCCTTCTTCACCGGATGCTATTCTCTCCGCATCTCTAGTCATGTCCAAAGCATGCACCTGAGCGTTAGCTGCAGCTTTCGAGGAGATTTCAGCTTGCCTCAAAGCGATACTCGAAGCGACGGCTGCGGCTTTGGCGTTACAGGACGCCTCCGACCCGGCGACGATTGCCAGCAGAGCGGCCTTTACTTTAGCAGAAGCTTCTGCTCGGGCAGCAAGAGCCGCTTTGATCGCCTTTACAGCTTTCTGAGATGCTGCACTAGAAGCTTCAGCTGTCTTAGCCGCAAGCTGCGCCTTCTTCCATAATTCTCCGTTAATTACCGCGTCTTCTTTCGCTATAGCTCGCTTTACGATGGGAAGAATATTGGATTGTATTATTGTACGAGCTTGAGCCTCGAGTTTCGCCTTCTGTATCGCTTGCGCAGCCTCCTCGGACTTGGCCTTGATCTGTGCACGAGCGGCAGCCAAAGCGTTCGCTTCCGCCTCTTCCTTGGCTTTTATTTCCGCTAAAGCGTTCGCCTCCGATTTCGCCTTCGCCTCGGCTTGCTTCAGCGCTGCCGCCAGTTCCTTCAACTTCCGTAACGCCTCCGCAGCTTCTTTCTCAGCCTTCGATCGAGCTTCCGATTCCTTTCGGGCTCGAGCTTCGGCTTTGATCTTCTCCTCCTTCAACGTCTTTATCTCCGTGCTGGAACTCGAAGACTTTGTCGCCGTGTTCTTCGTTTCCTTCACGATGACTTTCTTCTCCACTTCTTTCCCGCCCTTTTTATCATCTTTCTGCCTCACATCGTGCTGCGAAATCTCCACTTTCTTCAGAGACACATGCTTCCCTTCGCCCTCGTCCTGTCCTTTGGTGTCCACTGACGATGACCTTTCCTGTTTAGACTCCACCTTCCTGGAAGAAGAAGAGATACTGGACCCGGAGGATTCCAAGTGAGCCGATCTTATGTTTCGATGCTCGATATTCTCGAGTTCCTCCGCGGATGTTGAAGAACTTGACCACGATGTTAAATGATGCTCGTCATCGCTTCTCGAGGCGGTAAGACTGGTCGCGCGTACCGCCTCTTGATTTATCAGAGCCCAAGTGACGAAACATACGACGAATATCTTCATCGTCGATGGAGTAACGTGCATTGATCGCGGTTTTCGCGATTCGTCAATTATATACCGCGACGAACAGTTGTAATAACACCGGTGTTTTCAAGCGACAGACGCGAGGGGTCGTCTGGGTGGAAAAATAGGAATCTACATTTGTGTCCTCTGTAACGTAAATCCTTTTTATAAATTTCAATCATATACATATTTAATTTAACAATTTGGCTATTGATTTTGGGAAATAGAAGATATATTCATTTTTGTTTTCTTTCATTTTAGGAAAAGAGGATGTTATTGTACATTGGCTTCGAAGATCTGACGTATTCTTTGTCGACGCGTTTTAAATTCATCGTTCATCTACTGGAACACAAGAACTGTTATCGAGACGTCGAGGAATTTGAAAAGTGGGTTGGTAGCCGTACTGAAGAACAATTCGCAGCTCGTAGCCTGAAGAGTTCTGAAACGGACACCTCTACGTGTTTTATCATATACTGTCCCGATGTCTGGCACTTCCTTAAATAAAGCTCCGTGTAATAACAACGTTGCAGACAATCCCACCCCACTACCGAACGTCTTTTTTGGTATGTATTGTTTTCTCTTTGCCTCGTTGCAATTGTATTTTTTTTTCTTGTGAACATTTTCCTTGCAATCCGTGTGAGTTCAATCTTTAAAGTTTCTTTTTTTTTTCTTTTATAACGCCCAAGACGTGTTACACATATAATGGAAAATTTTTCAAAATAGAAAAGAAAGAGCGGACCGAAGACAAGGTAAAAAACAAAAAATCAAAATCATGCTTCAAATTACAAATATTATAAATTTGAAAAACTTTATTATTCTTTTAAGCTTCTTACAGTCTTTTATATGAACAAATTATAATGATAAATTTTCAAAATTTTATATATTTAAATTTTAGAAATCGAACAGATTTTTAATCTTATTTATCGAATTATTTGTATTACAAAATTCTTATCAATATTTTTCCCGTATAGTGTATTTCTTTTCTATTGATACTCATTTTACTAGAAATCAGAGAAACCAAAAAGAACCGTAGTCTTTCTGTTCACATCACTTATATACGTTCACGCTGTTCACAGCGTTTACCTTCGGCCCACGGAGTGGGAGTTCTTTTATTCGAATCCGTTCAATTTTTATTGGCAAAAAAGAAATTGTTTAAAATATTTTAACAAATTCTAAAAATACATGTAACGCTTTCCCTGTTCGTCTTGTAACATATTGTATAATCTTTTTTTTTTATTTTTAGATAAAAAGAAAAAAAAGCACGAATGTTCTGAATCGCTATAACGATCAACGTGGTTGTCAAGCATGGTTGTAAATCCGGAATGTCAGGTTCAACGTAAGTTCCAACCAGTTATCTGTCTGGTAACATCGACGAAAGGTCTCGGAAAAGGTGGAGTCATCTTTTGAAAGGCACACGGAGATACGATGACCAATATTAATTCAGACAATCAATTAAAAAGCGAAGAAAGAAGAACGTTTGGAATACGACTAAATTTTCTACATAAATCGGAGAATCTGTTGTCAGCTATAAATTCCCTTTCACCGACACAGGGAACGACGTTAGTTAACGTTAACGTTGTCAGAATGAAAAATTCATCCAGGTATGTGAGCACCTGTGCGGGTGCAATTCAACTAGATCGGAACGTTACCCACAATGCAACGATATCCGGTTACTGGCCTCTGTAAAAAAAGAAAAATTGCATTAGCCGCGTATCCGGCACGGAGATATATTTGTTTTTTGTTCGCACAAATTATTTCACTGCGTTCGTTTGAGCTGTGAACATGGACTTCCGCAATTTTTTTTTTTTTTTATAAGAATTATAATGGTCATGTTTCAGGGGAGCAATGACACTGTTTCACCTGTTAGGATGTTGACTACTGTAGGGGTCATTGGTGGTCTACACCACAAATTTAATACAGTAGAATTATTAAAAGAAACAATATAGAGAAATATTAGTTTGAATAGAGTAGAATATTGAATTAATAATTATATCAATATTATATAACAATGTGGATCCGAGGGATTCCTAGGTAAACTAGTAACTGGTACGCTGCAAAATTGGAAAGTTTATTCTAGAATGTTCTCCAGCTGAGAGAAATGAAATCAGCAGAATTTAGTGCCTTATAAATGTAGTGTACGATTTTACTCTGTCGTATTCTTATTGTTTCCGTGAACCACGTAAGAACTTGAATAGTTGAGAAATCAAAGTCATATATTACTATTTAATAAATTCTGAATTATTAATAATTATTGGTAGTAATTTTACTTACTACTAATGATTATTAATTATCAATTAGTCACCAATTAATAATTTTTCTAAGCAACGAATCTGATCTATCAGTTTAATTGGATATTAATCACCAGAAAGCGTTGGTTTGCGAGTGATAGATCGGTGTGCCAGTTAAACGATATCTGGTTACAGATCAGTCGGATCTTATCATAGCTGTTTAACTTGTGAAACTAGGGCAACGGCTAGATGTTATCTAGCCGGACGTGTGTCTTCAAAAAAATTTTGTCCCGACGTCCGAGATTTCGCGCGTTTCTCGTTTTACACGTTCTACGCGTGGTCGTCGATCGTGAAAAGGTGAAAGCAGATCGCGTGGAATAATCCTTGAATAGTCACGACTATATTTCTTCGATTTTTTCCATTCGTTCCTAGACACAAAGGCGCCGCGTGAAATCACCGACAAGAAAACTGATTTTGCAATCGGTCCCACCGTTCATCGGTACCTTCCTAATACGCGTTGCACATTTCAATATATATATATAACCGGTATTGCGTTTCGAATAACGAATATCATTTTTAATCAGCCGTTTAGAATCTTAAACGCGACGATATCTTTGATTAAAAATTGATTTACATTTGACATTTTTTTTACCGTATCAAACCTCATGCTTTCCCTGTTCAAAGATTTACTTTTTACGGTAAACACATCTGTATAGTATACGTATATTTATTTAATATCCACCTGAAAGAACGAAAATATTTCAACAACTGAATGAACATCGTCTCACGCGACAGAAAAAAATACAGTATTTTTGTAAGTGTCGTTACAAACCTGAAATACTAATTTAAAAAGTAAAGTCAATATGCGTTAGCGTCTAAATTAAGCACGGAAGATACTGTTCCATAATATTCCATCAAAATATTGCTAATATTATTAATCGTTTGTTACTAATTAGCACGATGGTAAAGAGCAATTCTAAGAATGCAGTTTCTCCATTTAAGTAATTACTAATTTGTCAACATTGTCTCTGTTGCGACAACCTATTTCGTCGCGATTCAGTTACACCAGCCATCCAGTTAAAATTGTGCCCATCCTCTTCCGGTTCACCTTCTCCTTGTTAACTCATTTCACCGGAGACACTCGGCTAGATTTATTGTTGCAACTTATTACATGCTTGTTATCACTTCATGAAATTGCTTTTTTGATTGCTATGAGATCATTGCGTTAACTAAATGAAATCCCTGTGAATGAAACAATTTCCAGGAATACAATTACGTGTTAGTAACACGATATGTTAAAAAAATATATGCAAAACATGTTAAAATGATTTTCCATGAAACCGAATGAATGACAAATCTGACTTTCCCACCAGACAAACGTTCTTCCGTGCTTCAATGTCAAAAGAAACGGATAATAATGAGTAAAACTTGCGTTCTATTTTTTTCTGTTGCCAAGGACATGTTGTAATTCCATGAATCAGTTAGTATATAATAAAAAATATTCAATGTCGCTTGTGGCAAAACCACTTTGCTGATTGTTACAATATTAATAGTAATATTACGCGCCCAAACGCATGTCTCACTAATACGACATGTTAAGGCACTGTTGCTAATTAGCTGGTGATGACAAGAAAGTATTATAGAATGAGATTACGATGATATTAATTGTACCCGTTACGAGTAACCTGAGAAGTTTCACAGTGCCTAACAATGAAGTAATAACAGAATTTGAATAATGCCAAGGGCAAGTTACATGATTGCTAGGTGCTTGATTGGTGGTCAGAAAGCCAGCATTGCATTTACGGATCCTGTCCCTTAATTGTCTATCAAAGGATTCATTTTGAAGAACAATATGCTCTTTCGACACAACGCTATTTCTTTCAACAGAATAGACACGATGCTTTCTAATAATACCAATGGTTTCTTTTTTCATAGCTGATGGAGATATGGTACATTAAACCGTTTGATCAAAGTTAATGACCACATTGTCTTCTTGTGCAAACATCTTTACAAAACTTCTCATTTATTTTTATTGAAGAAATTCTGATTTACTTCCATTTACTTTGTTTATTGAAACAGAACTGGTAGTTCACACACAAAGAATACTTCTAGTGAAGTATTTCCTCTGAAAAGTGTTATAGTTTGATAGAGAATTCTAAATTAATAGAAAACATGAAATATCAATTAGAAATTGATCACTTTTTAATCATATAATGTTTCTAGTGAAAGTTACTTTTACCTAATAACCATTTAACACTGATTAAAACAGGGGGACATTTTATAATCCAATAAAAAGAAGACAAATGCGTTTGTTTTATAGAATATATACATATTTTATTTTACATCCTAAATACATGTTACCACGTTATTCTTGTTTCCAGCGTGTAAATGTTAATCCTAGTTTTTCTTAACGATACAAATTAAATACATACAAGCTCGAATGGTAATCTAATTCTAACGTGTTTATTATACACACACTGCTGTCCACGAGTCACCGGACACTCTTTAAAACAGAATATTCTTTTTAAAATTGGACCTAATAACTTGAGATTTTTTGAGAGCTATAAAAATTAATACACTAAATTTGGTCCAATTTTAAAAAGAATTTTCTATTTTAAAGAGGGTCCGGTGACTTATGAGCAGCAGTGTATGTATTGGAAATAAGAATAGCTAACTTATGAACTGAAATATTGTTAGGTAACTACAAACACTTGGGTTAAAACCTATTATTTATTAGGACAATAAATCTCGAACTGAGTACCAATTTCTAATATTATACAGTCCTACCTCTCAACGTAACATTTACATAACATAAAAATATATTAACTCATTTAAGTGCTAACATAATATTCATATTTTATAATTGTCCCAATTATCAAATCAGGTTTTACAATAAGAAATCTTTCAAAGAAAAGATAAAATAGCATACTGAATATTTTTATACAATATAAATACATGTTTCAATACATGTTAATATTTTTACATAAAATTCTAACGTGCAATGTTTATTACAATCTCCAGTTTTTAATGCGAATCATACCGTGCACTTTACAATATCGATGTAAAGAATTTTATTACATTATACAAAATCAAATATCTATTATTTGTATTAATAGATTTGACATAAACGCGTTTAATTTCAATAGAACAATCTACATTCGTGTATTTAAAAAAATGCATATGTTTCATAATTGTGTTATCGAAAACACGGTAGAAAGATTTTGGTATTATTACAAAATGTTAGGTATGTAGGAGAAGAGATAATGACATATATCCTAAAAGAGAAATATGAATAATGAATGCCTTCCAGTAAAACTTTTTAATCTAACAAAGAAGATTTGTAGGGTATACATTTAATGACTAGTGTTTTATTCAAATAACTTGCCTATAATTTATATTGTATGTAAGTTGGAATAATTTAACTGAAAGTATATATACATGCATTATTTACATACATATATATGTATATGGTATCTTAGGTTAAAAATTATTTAAACTGATCTTACATGTGTACATCTCTTTCAAAGAGAACATTTCTGAAAAGTATCAGTAAGTAATTTTCTTACCCAAATAACTTAAATATTTATTATTTCATAAATATTTTTGTATGTACAACTTTGAACCAAGTTAGGTGATACAACATGAAATTCTCAATTTCTTTTTTTTTTCTCGATAAAACATTATAAACATTGTCACTGTTCATATAATCGTGTTTAATACAATCGTAAATAATACTTTGGTATTTTAAAATCGTATATATCACCTAACACAATCCACAGAATTTATAATCCTTAGTACTTCCAAATATACTTATAAATAATAGACTAGCCAAGATTAAGAAATCTAAAGTTTATCCTTTCATAAATTTTTAATGAAAACAAATATGTGGTATAAATCAATATTAAAGGATAAGTTGAAAAAGTTTAGTTGAACTACTATAAACAATATTGTATTTAAAGCAAAATGCTCTACACTATTTATTCACAGCCTAGTTTGTCAATCTGGAAGACTTATTATGCATATTTTCTTCTATGATAATACATCACTTCTCCTCCTATCCTATACAGTGTTACCTTGAAATTATGAATAATTGAATTTTATTCAATATGTTGGAATCGTTCTTGCCAAATGTGAGTCCTGTGTTGAACAGTTAAAACAGGATTAAGAACACGTTCTATACAATTAATACGACCTCTGAACCGCTCTCTATCTCTAGCCATCTCCTCCCAAGGACCTTTACGAGCCGCGCGATACGCATAATCCCACTGTACCATTACGTGAACAACTGGATTTAAATTAAATTTAACCTATAATAAAATTTTAATTATTTATCAAATCGAAATTATGGTAAACAGTTCTAAAAACAGATCATTACTTTTTGAGCGGAAATAATAGATTTTTTATCTTCATCTTCGCTGTCCTCGGTATCCTCGCTATCACTTTCATAAGTTTCAGAACCAGTTTCAAAGACTATGCAGTAACTGTCCTCTGAATCTATAGAACTTTCTGATATTAAACGTGGCCGAAAAGTATTTTTTTGAAAATTGTAATCGTTCCTAATAAAATCCTGATCAAAGGTACCAGTGTCTTTTTTGCACTCGTGTATACTTCTTATTTTTGTAGAAAATTTAGATCTTTGATCAACGTGTCTATGAGTTTTTGGTTTTTGAAGTTTTTTAGGTTGTACATCAGCAAACGTATAAGTTGCCGGATTAATTGTTTCTTTTATAATATACTGTGTAGGTGCTAATCCATCCACTGTATCTTCATCTAAATTGAAACAGTCTTCTACTGTATCATACGTTTCAAGTTCTTCCCAATTTTTTAAATCATTTTGTATATCTAGTTTGAGATCATGTTTAGTACGCTCCTTTCTATGTCGTGTTTGGCTTACTCCAGAACGTCTAAGCTGTGATTTAGCTCGGCCCCTACCTCTGCCTTTTGCTATGGTATTTAATTTTCTTTTTTGCTTCGGCGAACATGATCGTTTCGTTAACAGATCAGACTCATCTGGATCTATTCTACAAAATCGACCTGTTACACTACCGAAAACTTTTTGCCACATATTTGTTATTATATTTGACGTTGTTGTTGTTGTTGATTGTGGAATTGACTGTATTTTTTCAATATTAGAACTAGATGGTGAGAAATTAGCTTCTACAGTTGTGAATGTACTATCATCCATATCGTTACTAACATAATCAGAAAACTGTTCATTGTTAGCAATACTTGTATCGTACATATTTTCGCAATTATAATCATTACCCTTGTCATACATTTTATGTATATCTGTATTCGGATAAATACATTCAAATAATTCCTCTTTTCCTACTTTATCTGAATTTTCAAATGATAGTAGGTAATTAGATCTAGGTGTATCGTATATAACATTCTCCTTCATGATTGATTTTTTTTCATCAAATTTTCTCGCGTCCTTATTTTCATTATCAGTGCACTTATAACTGAATCTTATACTATCTTTCGCATTTTCATTAAAAATTCTATCTACGTAAGACTTCTGTTCGTCGCATACATCATGATGAATACTTTCAATAATGTTTAAAGATTCTTTTACTTGGGCATTATGAATGTATACATTATCATTATTTAGTAGTTCCTTTTTAGTTGTCAAATTTTTATAAAATTCAGGCGAAATAATACCTTCATTGTGCACAACTGTTACGGATAATGGATAATTAATGTTTGTTATAAATGATGCAGGAACTTTGGAGACTTGTTCCCACAAAACATTGAAAACATTCAAGACACTGTAGAACATGTTTTCTTTCTTTGGATTCGACATGTTTCTTTTATCATTTAACGTATCGTTCATTGAATACATCTTCTCTATTGTTATTTTTTCAAATAAATTTTTCATTAAATTGAAATCTCTTACAAGGGAACAAGAATCATTGTTAAACAACAAACAATGAATTTAAAAAACCAATCTATAGCCCTAATAGGCCACATATTTTCATTTATATACCTTACTCAACAAACTGGTATTCCTCTACAACCAATTTTATTTTTCATAAATGTTCTTTGTTTAGCTGTGAACAAAAAATGAAACGTTTGAAATACATCAATAATTTATTTCTTAATAAGTAACGTAAAAATATTTATATCGATAATAAACAGACACTATAGGAATGTACATTAATTTTGTAATATACTTATAAATCGATACAACGTTTGCAACAATAATGTGAATAATCATGGATTTATCGCGTACATTCCAGAGAGTGACTAGTTAACATTTGAGTCATAAAATAACAAAACTAGTATGAAATAATATTTATGATATTCGAATCGTCGTTATAATCGCTATCGTTTTATAATAAAAGTCGAACTGATAATTTGTTCTGCATACATACAACAAAGATAGCCTCCACAACTGTGACAACTACAATCACGTAGGAATTTTTCCTTACAATATGACAATTGTTTTCTCGCTGTATCACAATTTCCACCTTTAAACAAAGGATTTTCGATCAATTTAATTACTTCAGGCACAATAATTTCCTTCGACTTTTCAATAATTTCGTAAGATTCCATTGTAAATTCACACGTTATCGTATCACACATTTTGACGAAAACTGTTAAGCGGCCATTTTCAACTAGTTGATGTTCAGAATATTTGTAACTCATAACTCTAGAGGCGCTGCAGTAAATACAATTTGCATATACGGTTAACTAAAACGTAAATTTAATTGTTTTTTTGTAGAACTTAAAATAGAAAGATGATATTATTTACGTAGAAATGAATCACCTTTCATATATTTTGTTTTTCGTAAAACATTGAACACAGTTTTAAGAAAGAAAATCATAATTGAATGTTCAAGGCCATACATATATGAATAATAAAATTATGTAATTTTTCAATAATACAACAATCTAATGAACTGATTCATACTTTAACTGATGAAATCTCTGCCTTGTTTATGACAATCCTTTCACTTTTGCATCTGATGCAAATTATAAACGACTTGCATTCATTTTATATAAACAATTTTAATTAGCAACAAGTTTTTATACCCAACAGATAATACGAATACAAAACCCAAATACATTCATGATTTCTATTAGCTTTTATTAAAAATACTTTCTTTTAACTATTTATGATGCTATAATGTATTTTCATAGATGTAATAAATTTATAATCGTAATTTATTTTACATTAAATGCGTACAATACATAAAAAATAATAGAACATATACAATTTACTATCCGGAAATAAGAATCGTTTACAAGTACTGCAACCCAATACCAAACTGAAATTGTTGTAATACGTCGCTTCTAAGAAACAACAATGGCATAATAAAGTTCAATTCAACTCTTGCTATATCCCCAAGTTTCATCGCGATACCTCCACCCGCTGAACAACGAACATTTTCCGTAAAAATTTTCATGTTGTCTTTGTAATTATTATCTGAAAATAAGCAAATTTCATCGAATCTCGTGTACAAGTCAAACAACAAGGAATTTCAAATTTGAAAAGTTTCATACCAAACTTGAATGTGAAATTCGACACGTTTCCACCGTTGATAAAACCATGCAATTTGAACAAGTCACCAAATCCATTACGACCGGGCCTAAATGGCAGTGGTGTGTATAAGTGAAGTGCAGCTGCCCAATATGCATCGCCTCCTATTGAATAACCATCGTCTCGTGGTCCACAACCTCTCATTTCAAATCCTCTAAGATTCAATGGTCCACCCAAAAAGAATTGATCGGCAATATTTATCTTCATTTCATTATTGACTCCTCTAAGTAATCCAGATTGAAGGCCTAGTTGAAACGTCTAATAGCAAAATTTCTATAATTACAAATTGTACAGAAATTAACTCAGTTAATTGTAAATTGAAAGATACTTGCAAGACATTCGTGTGGTGTCCAGTTAGTTTGCACGGTAAGTTCATTTTTAACAAATCCGATATCTCCGCCAAGACCAGCTACTTCTGTTGAAAACTGTACAAGACTTCCCGAGGTAGGAAATATTAATGAGTCTCTTTTATCGATGGAGCAAATATGTCGCAATGCGGATTTTAAATTTGGACCGCACTGCTCTCGTACACGAAACGATGTTTGTTTGGAAGAAGCGATTTCTCTGTAAGCAGCTTCATATTGTAAATTGTGCTTTAGTATACCTGCACCATCTGGATTGAATGCAAGGTCTAATAAAAAGCCTTTATCGTGTTGATTAAAACCAGACCATGGGAATCTATTTGACGAGTTAAATACACTACCAGTTAATCTGTAATCAAAAAGTAAATATGTTTAGTTACATGATCAACCAATATTAATTTTGATATTAAAATGAAAACAGTCTTGCATACACTGTATGAAGCCAACTGTTTACAAATGGTTTAACAACAGATACACGTATATTGGTTGAACTTTTTGAACCATAAGAATATTCCATTTGCAAACGTTCACCTCTTCCAAATAAGTTTGGTGCCTTTGCTTGAATAACAACAGAACCTTCATTGTTCCCAATCATCGTGCTAATTTCACCCGTTAAGCGTCTCATTTCGCGTACGGAAAAGGTGACCTGAAACAGAGTATACTTTAAGATTTCTTTCAGGAATAAATGCTAATTTCTAAACAAACGATTTATCAATGAACTGAAAGTAATTAAATCTGAGAAATTACTTATTGTCTGTTGAATTAGTGTGTAATTATATAGACCCACTTCAACGCCTTCTGGGGTAGCATCAGGACCTTGACTGGTGTCAATGTAAATTCCAATATTCTTGAAACATCCTAAGGTCCCTAGTTTTTCTCTAACTTTGGAGGCACGTAAAATAACATCATAAAAATCCTGAGCTTTAAAAAGTTCTGTCACTTGTGATTGTATTATATCATCCTTTGTTCTCATAAGCCCATCTATATGTATTCTGTCAACTCTTACCTAGTTGAAAAATATTATTATTTAATTTATAATTCATACACAAATCAAAGTATCAATATATAAAGTAGTAAATATACTTTCAAAGAATGAAGATCAATATGTTTTTCCTTTGTTGTATCAAATAAATTCTTGTTTTTACGAAAACTTGCTGACTGAAAATAAAAATTTTCAAGTTATTTTAAATCTTCAAATTGATAAGAAATGTAAAAATGTTTTGCATTGAAAAAGTTAATTGAATATCATTACTTACAGGATTATTTTCATTTGAAGTTTCATTCATATTTCCAGACATCATTGATTCCTAAAAAAAATATGCAAGACATTGATGAGAAATTTTTTACTTAAAACAAATGGAAAAATATCATAAATGTGAAATAACATTCTATAAAATTAAGAAAAACACAAGCTTAATATAAAGTATAATATAATATCTGAATAAAACATCGAGGTTTAATAAATTATTATTAGAAATTACTTCATGCTGCAAATTAATGACTTTAATTTTAGGTTATTCTCTAATTTTCTAAGAATAAGCTTATACCTTTGCATGAACAGTTCCCATTTTTTTGACAATGAATTTTGACTATTCAAATAGAAAATCACATTAAAAGAATAGCAAATTTTGTCAGGTTTCTTTCAATACCTGACAAAAAATCGTAAATTTTTTAAATTAAATATTCGGAACGGTTAAGAACAAGCAGTGTAGCATTTCCTTACCGGTACCACAGAAAAAGTAAAGATAGACCAACCACCTTATGATAGTTCATTGTGGTGTTGGTATAGTAGAATGTGATACGAAAATGTATAATTCCCAAAGGTGATTCATCTATATCATACCTTGTCAGTGACGGTAGATCCTTTTGGATTCTGTCGGTACAGTAGATTTACCGGAAGATTAGCGGGGCGTTTTAATATTTTAAAAGTGGAATACAGATCAATTTTCAATTTTCAAATTTCTCTCTTTAAATGTTTCTACACAAGTGGTGGATGAATTCGAGGAAGGGGGGTCTACAATGCTCGGTACTGCACAAATTAATACGTTAATTATTTTAATGAAATTTAATGATTTATTCAAATTTCTTTATCAGTTACATTGTAGAATATAATATACATATACATATATTAATTACATAAAAATAACATCTATATATTGATCAGGTATGGCAGTTGTATATATCAAAATGTCTTAATTGGAAGCATTTAGATGTGTCATAGATTTTATAGAAGTTTTTATATTTAATTCATATACAATAGAGGTAGATTTTAGTACCATAAAATATAATTTTATTAAAACAGAAATAAATAAAATATATCATTATTTATTAATAGTTAATTGCCACCTTCGGTAATGAGCATAATAAAATAAATTCATCCTTGAAACTTAACTCCCACGTATTACAATTATTTACAGGAACTTAAGTAAAGGAAGACTTATGAATTTATTCATAAATTCCGATCTTAATCAACATAATAATAAATGTTGACTATAAAGTTTCACGAATAATTCTGAGGATAATAAATTCAATTATTCTTCCCCATAAGCCCATTCAAACAAAATTGATAAAAGCCACACTATTAACTGAGTTAGTTGTTTATATCATAATAAACATCCTCATAAAGAATTTATGTATAATATCATTTAAATATCAGTAAAATTGTTACAAGTACTTTGTCTTATTTATAAGGAACGGAGTTGTAAGATTCACAATTAAAGCTTCGTTCTTCTCAGATCAATTTTTCATCAGTTCTAAAAATATATCACCATAGTAGCACAAATATGAACGCTACTATACCATTATAGTACTGTCCTTCTATAACAATATACTTTCGTTATTTAATATTATTAATAATATTTCAGTTGTTCATTGGTTCTATAATTGTCATAACGCAGCTGGTCCAACTCGTGAATGTGTAGGGGGAGAAGACACAGGACTCCCGTGAATTTCTAAATCAAAATCCGAACTTGATAAATTATTTCTCATGACTCTATTCCATCGATTTGCATTCTCGTTTATTGTTGTGAAATGTCGATTCGCTTCTCTTTCATCGGCAGATCTTTCGGAAGCACGAATTGCTTCTTGTTGAATAATTATTTCATTAGTTATATATGCTTCACGTCGAATTCTATCACGTAATTTTGGATTTATATCGGGAATACACCACCGTAAAAGTATCATTACGAGAGCAACAACGTTCTGAAAAAACATAAATTCTATTAATTTAAGGATATAAGATTTTTTGTTACTGGTATATGTAATAATTATGTAATAATACCTCAAATACAACGACGAAAGCTAATCTAGCAGTTAATATATGCCAGAACGTAATTGTGTATTTATATTTATTTGGCGAATCTGGTGACTCTCTGTAATCTGGATACCTACATATTTCTACATGTTCATCGCCAGATTCAGCAAATGGTCTAGTTCCATTTGCGAAATCACTTGTACTAAACTTTGAAAGAGAATGTTCTAAAAAGCCTTCTAGAGAATGATTCTTGGAAACAGTTATCCGATAAACTAATCTCGGTATAAAATTTGAAGTAAACGCTATAATAAATGCCTGAAATACATGTATACATTTAACATTTTGTTGCTTAACAGGAAAATAGTTTATAAATATGAGTACTTACGTTAGTTATAACAGACAATTTGGAAATGGAGTCAAGAATGCGGTACCATATACCTATATCTCTAACACGTTGTCCAACTGGCCTTCTATACATTGTTAATAATTTTTTGGCATCCAGTCGCATTTCAAAAACATTATTCAATAACGCAAAAAATGGCGCTAATGGAAATGCAGCGACAAAAATAGTAACAAATCCATATTGCAAAACTACAGTAAATAACAAAAGTTAAATATAATATAATAAATACGTATGTTTAAATTTTAACCGATTTAAATCATTACCCATTTCTAAATATTCTGGAAATAAGCTTCTTGGACCCCATTCCACCAACTTGTAATCTTTAATCCATTGAAGATATTTCCTAGTAGTAATTTTTTTCTTCCCGTCTTTCGTTTTCATTCCGACGTGTACTTTTAAAGTATTTAACCATTTATAAAACAGCGGAAAAAGCATTTCTAATATTGTATTCATAGCTTGTTTTCCAATCATGATAATGCTTAACTGTATACATAATTCCATAAGGCAACCCCCTGGACCACATTCCTCTTGTCGATACGTTTTAAAAAAGCGATTATAATCTCCTGGATAACCAACGAATTTTCCTTTAAAAAATGCTATATAAAAAATGGAAGCATAATAATTTACGAATTCTAGTAAATATATTTTTAACGTTAAACTGTCGTCAAATTCAGTTTGAGTACGAGGGAGCTCAATCTGTAACGATATAAAACCAGATATTATACAAGATATTTCACTGTTATAACATTAACACATTTATATAGAATACCTCTGTCAAATATTCAGCCAACCAAACGTAAAGCCAGTTAAATACAATAATGCAGCACAAATTAATGCTAGCTGCAGTGGCTGAAGTAAAAAGTATTGCATAACTTGTTACCATAGGATGACCATAAACACTTAATGCAGTTAAAACAGACATTCTGTATAAAACAACTCCTAACACAGCAGCCATTGCCACTGCAATCTACAACACAAAGTATAATTTTTAAAAAAACCACTTTGTTGCTAAAAAATAGTACTTGATAATAGCACTTTTATATAACATATAAACAAACCAGTAATAAAACAACGGAAAAACTGAGAATCGTAGCGGGAACTTTCATTTTCCAAAACGGTACTTTTGGTTCTTCTGTATTTGTAATAACGTTGAGCGACTTTTTCTTGATATGCGATAAACGTGCTAAGTACTGAGGTCGAGGGTGTTCCTCTTGAGCATCCAAACCAGTCAAGTCCCATCTATGAGTTATTTCTACTGAATATCTTTTCCATAGTTCCAAGAATAACGTAGCTAATAATAAAAATAAAAAAAACCGTAAAAAATAAAAACTCAAATCTATTAATAATCACATTCAACGGTAATCACGTACCCCATAATGACATGAATACAGAGAAAAATACAGTAGATGGGTTATCAAATAAATATGTAATTCTTGCATGTAGACAAGTTTGTTTCAAATCCCAATAACCACAGAAATAATCGCACGGTGGACACATTGAAATAGTACCATTCCCATTGCAAACATCTTCGCTTGGTTCATTAGAATATAAAGTTGCACAGCTATATATAAAACATAAAAGGCCAACAATACTAGCAGGTATTAGCATGTGTGTATAGAATCCGAGCCAAGCGAAATAAAGCCCGATTTTTATACCAAAATACTCTTTGATATAATCCAAAGGTTGATAATGAAGACATTTTCTCAGACTTGCCCATTCTTTATACAGTAGATATCTCATAGAATCTGGTGCTTGTAGATCACCCTGAAAAGAAACAAAATATTGTATTTTAAACAAATCAACACGGGGCTAAAAATAAAGTCTTATCAAAATTTTTTTAGGCATTTAAAATCCGCAAACAGCAATAAATATCGTCCTAACAACTTGTTTTGATCTATACTGTTATAAATTTTATGATTGCAGTAAAATTATATACTTTGTGGAAGCGATAGTACGGTAGGGTGTTAACGGTACTTTTATTAGTCATGCAGGTATAAAGGACAAGTAAGTACAGCCCCCAAAGCGGAGAGCTTGTCATAATTCTCGGATCATTCAAAACGCTTTTTAGAAGAACATTATAATACCCTCCTTTCCTACTTATAATAAAATGCGATACATTGCCACAGCTTTTCTAAGAAACAAAGGAATTTATATCATGTCTTAAATAATCAATGTTTCATTCGATAAATATCTTTCCTATTATAAAGATTCACACTTTGTTGAACTACTATATTTACAGTTTGCAAATTGAACACTGATATCAATACCTTTTATAACTTCTCTAATTTATTCAATATTAAAGAGCCTTATGAAACTGTAAAATTAGAAAGGTCGACGTATAATACTTATTTCAGTTTCTTCGATACCTGCGAAATAGGACAATTAAAAGAAAAGAAATAAAATGTCCAACTATTCTTGGCCATTTAAATCCTCAATGCGAATACTATGAACCGACTGACAAAAAGAAGAATGAGGCTTCAGGTGGCCGTATTATAAGCTCGTGCTGTACCCTACCCGTTTAAGTACCCATATAAAACCTGATTAAGGTAAGATACAATAATCCTATATGCCGTTTTGTGTCCCAAGTCAACCAGGGTATTACATTCGAAGACAAAGGGCTAGACTTCGATGAATTACTATGAATCCTCCTACAAGGGTCATTCAATGAACAATAGGCTGTTTGGAACGTGCGAGCAATAGCGTGCAATAAGCGAAGACAATAACTGAAGAATATACAGGTACAAAATTATTTAGGTATAAATGAGTAATGTACAAGATGGTTCCAGCTAAATGTATGTTAAAAAGGGCTTGTAAAATAAGTAATGCAACTTACATCATGAAGGGGATACGCTGCTACGTATGCCCTTTCTGAAATCAATCTTTCCATTCCAAATGCAAAATCATTATGATTAGTTTCAGTAAATCTGGTTCTATCTAAGATAAATTGCACAATTCTGGCACGTGTTGCAGGTGTAAAAAAATTAGGCGAATCTATATCGAATAAATATTCCTTGTCGCGACTGTAAACAGCCGTAAAATTGTGTTTCAAATTTGGAAATATGGTCTGATCAACATAATATTTTCTCATAATTCTTTTAAATAACGAATTGACTTCATTGATTATCGTGTAACTACGATTTTCAGGAATTACCATGCCAGGCAATTCCTTCATTGCCAGTCTAAGCTTTAATATTTCAGCATAGCGCCGTAACACTTCTCGAGGTGCATGTACTTTTATGAAATGTAAACCATTTGGTTCTGTTTGTTCATGCTCCAAATGTAAACCTTCTTTCTCCAAATTCTTTTCGAATACCTGTAAGTTAAAAATAAATATAGCGTACAGAAAAATATTGACTTACACAGATACTTACACGTCTGTGCTCGGTATTGCGATACGTTTGGGCTCCTGAATCAAATTCATCCCAGACAAAGATAAAATCAATCGTACGAATTTCATCACGAAAATATAAACTAAATGCTGTTCCACAATTTGACACCTGTAAAAAAGATAATTAATGTCTAGTTTTGTTTAATAATTACATGTCTATAAAATTTCGCATCTATGAAATTTTAAAAAGGTATAAATTCTGTGTATAAATGATTTACCGCTCTTGAACCTCTTCTGTTTCTTAAATCTGAACAACTACCCTCGATTACTGTTTCATTAGTATCATTATTAATTGTTGAATCATCTTCATTGAACGTTTGTTGAATCTCTTCCAAAGAAATTACACTGTGCATACTATTCAAACTGCTCATGCTTCCAATACCATTCAATGAAATATTGTGAAGACTTTGATACAAAGTATGCACGGATCCTGCATTTAAATTACTTTGTATCGACTGATAAGCACTTACATCGGATCTACTACGATCAGATCTACTATTTCTATGGTCTTGTATCCATGGTACAGAAACTTCTTCGTCATCCTCTTTCATTTTTAATTCAATTGATCAATATCCAAACTCTACTTATTTGAATCAAAAAGGTGTACTACATGCAAGCCAAATAAAAAAATTCGTATACTTAAAAAGAAATGCTATAACATTTTTTTTTTTCATAAATTATAATTTTATAACAAATCAAATACATATTACAATTAAGCAACCCAATAGGCACAAGCAATATAAATAAGGATTTAATATATAGTCCTTAGGTTAACTTTACATAAATAAATATATTACTATTTACACATATGCTATTGAAATAAACACGTAGAAAATACGAAATAAAATCAGGCAGCAACAAATATTACACAATTAATTCTACGCAAATCTAACCACAATTTCCATTTTTACTATGATAAAAGCAACAATAAAAGTATATAATATTCTTACAGTATTTTCATATTCCCATTGAAAATCTTTAACTCCGGATGCTGTTTAAGATATGGAGCAGGAAATTGTCACATATCTATTTATTCATGTTGATATGTAATTTCATTGCTAGGCGCATTTTAACTTTTGGTTTATTATACACACTACTGCGTGTTCTTATTAAATTACTTAATTCTTTTGCATTCTTATGAGTATTACATGCGCCAAGTGAATTAATTATATTACATATATAAATATAAAAATGGCATGCAATGTCCGAGATGGATCATACCGTTGAATCACATTACTATCTATAGTAACGCAATAATATATGTAATAATCACGTGGTTCATATAATTTGTCACAAAATATTCATATATAAAAATTATTCTGTTGAAAATAAAAATTAAAAATATGGCCAATTGCGATAGGTAATCCATTTTATTTAATTTTTAACTACAACTACAAATATTTTATATAAAATGTTAGTGGTACAAAATTATTTTTTTGTTTTTAATATAAATAAATAGTTTATAATTTTTCTCCTTTCACATATATCTACATAATTCATTATTTTTTAATGAAATACATACATTGTATTAAGACTTGTATATTTTTTAAATATTAACAATATAAATATTTTATATTATCAATGTATAGTATAAATGTTTACTTATACTTTGTTAAAATTAATTCATATATTCTCTATTATATACATCTAATATAATACAGTCATATAATTATAATATAAGTCATACTTCTTGCATAACTAAAGCATTGAGTTCATCTTCTCCTGGACATAATACAGAATCAATGTTATAAACAGCTGCATGTAAAGTTATTAGAAACCACGACACGCCTGAAACAAAATATTTGCGTATATTATTTTATTTTTCACTGAAACAGAATTATTATGCAAATTAGATACAGTTTATTTACCAAGAACCCAGAAAAGAGCTGCACCTGCACCAACCAGAATAAAGACTGGCAATGTGAAAATTGCAATCAAGGTATAAATTTGAGCTAATGACAATTTATTTAAAAACATAAGTTCTTGTTTAGCATGCCGCTGTGAAACTTTATAACAAGTCCCAAGAGATGCTGCTACAGTAAGTAGCAATAATGGTGAAGTAACCCTAATGTTTAAAACATATCATTTTAGAGAAAGAAATATCAATGAAGAATAAAGTCAATGTAATAATTCTTACAAGCAATATATAACTAATCCAATGAACACAAATAAATAGTTGCTCTGGAAATATTCAATATTTCTGATAATTCGTTTGTTTAATCTCGATAAGTTAGGTGGACATTTTATGTTGCTTGTATTAAGAAACACAGACCATGGCCTAACATTAGCTTTCCTATGTTCAATCCATTCATGAGCTTGCGGATATCCTAGGTTGTTAAGCGGTATTTGTAGAAATTCAAGCCTAAAATTAAAAAAAGAAATGTGAATTATATGTACCTTATATTTAAATGTTTACCTTATATCAACAATAAATTAAAATTAATACAGTAGTTTTTAGAAATGATCATTATAATCAAGTTATCTTTCAAAAATATGGTATGTGTTTAAATAACCAAAATCTGTCACTGAAATGTTACTGCCATTATTGTTATGAAATTTTTGTGTAGGTTAAACAGTAAGTACTTGTTATTTCTAATCAGTTCCTATATCGCATACTAAATGATTACCCATTTCCAGATTTCTCTTTTTGTTGTGATTGTGGATTTTGCATCTCACCCCCAACATCAATTTCCACGTCCGCCATCTTTTTTTTAGTACACGAACTTTCGGAAATGCCTCGCCAGATGAGGAAACGACTATCTTCTGTTTTGATTCTTTACGTGGAGCCTGGCATCCCCACCATCAACAACCATAGCCTCGTTTAGAAAAAACCCGTCGTAGGCAGTAAAATTCCCATCATATCGCACATCGAACTACTATGTTACCCCTACCATGGGTATCGTCGACACCAATACATTCTAACTTGCTCTCATACAAACGCTACAGGTTGCAGCTGCTCAATAAAAATTCTTTCACTGCCTTCGTAAAACTTCTTTCACGAAAAGGGCTCTTTGTCTGAACAAAGACGCAAAAGATTTTCCTTGCTTGCGTAAGTTTTTCGATGTTCTTACTTATAAAATGTACAAAATCTTTTTCTTTTAACTGTATTATAATATGCATCTGCGTGTTATTTTCTTTGATTGAATTTTTCCATTTAAATTGAACATTTTACAATGCTTTTTTGTTCAGGAAAATAGAATACACATTGCTTTGTCTATGTTTCCTGAATCTTACAATTAACAAAAGGTTAAAACATATTGGAAGAAATTTATATTGTTATAATTAATAAATATGTTTGTATTTATTTAAACTAATTCTATATATTTGTACTCGACCAAATACAATGTTCTGTTTTCTAAAGTTTATTGTTTCGGAAAATTTAAAACTTCGATATAGTTTTATTCGTTATATGTTTTATAATTTACAAATATTACGTTTAAATATTGACGACTTAATTTGTTAATGGCAATGAAACATGGCTTCATTTCTTACAGGGATATTTAGATTCTTAAATACTGAAAGGGATCATCAGAGTAGAGAGAAAATTTATTTTCATCCATTATTTGTCGAAAAATCTTCACTTACTTTCGGCGTCCTTCACGCAAAACGTTCAAAGAATAAAGTTTTAGAATTTCACGAGAATGCTTTCTCCCTCGGAAATGTGTGCAGATGACGCTACTATGTACTACCATTGTGAATAATCACAGCCAATAGGAGGACGCGTTGCATCGAATTCAATAGCTACCAATTCTTAAGGAACGTTTTGATTGGACGTTCCTAATTTTCCCGAATAACATCGAGCCACCCGCCATAACGAACGTAGCGTGGTACGTTGTTTGAATGAACGTGTTCAAACCCAATTGACAAGATTTTATAATTAGTATCGATTTTACTTTAGTATATACAGTGTACACGAGACGGTTGCATGCACAGCAACTTATGGTGACAATTTTTAGTCATGGAAGTTGCACAAAAGTTGCATTTTGACGCATGCGACATTCAGGACGAGGAGCTGAATATCAGCTGTCGTACGAACAGCTCCGGTTGTGATGTTGACGATATTTTAGATTCTTCGGCGGAAGATCTTGGATGTTCACCCCCGCTTCAACCAAGAAAATTATCCTTTAGCAATACAATGGACTGTAGTGACAGTGAAAATAATCAATCTGTGTTAATTAATAATAACAAAACACCGATTAGTAACGTGACAGGTTAGTAAGATAAAAAGTTTTCTAAACTGTTTGCAACTTGCTTTTTTTTACAATTTTTTGAGTGCAATGTGTTCTTTAAAACCATTATTTACTATGTACGTGACTTGTTTATGGATGGTTTTGGTTGAAAAGTTGCAAGCTTTTTTCAAAAATTTCTGTTCAGTTTCTTCTAATATCTTTGTAATGGATGCTGTTCATATTGTAAGTATTTAAATCCTGGATCCCAGCTTGTTTTCTATGTTTTACTATCTCTGAAGCTAGCTATCTGTATATCTTTTGTAAGATATTTTAGTAAATTTAGGTCTTTGTTTGCTTTGTTGAAATGTTTGCGTATCATCATAATTTATATCGTTATTTTTATCTTATATGCTATCGTTTTGAATTATTCATTTTTAATTCTATATTTATAAAACTTAAATGCATTGGAAAATTTTATTAGCATTTAAAGTAAAAATATTTGTGCATGGTGTGAGAAAATTGATATTTTTGTTGGGCAATTGTTTTACATCATGCGAGTAAGTTTATACTGAAGGGTTATTAAAGTGTGGTCAGTAAATACAATTGGACTGTGTACTGATATTATCTCAGAGTTCTTAATTGTATATCGATATGATGTATAATTTCATATGGAATTGACAACAGTTACTCAAAAACATGTGAACTGTTTAATCTTTGTTTCATTTACTAATTATTCTGTAATATATTGTTATATTTGTAATGTTTTATTGCGTTTTTAAGCATATATTCATTTTTAATGAAATAGTAAGATTTCATTGTAAATATTCATTGTATTTTCATTGTAATTACATATAAATGTAATTGTAAATATGAAAGAAGATAAGAAAACAATATTTGAAAATTACCCATTTTATTAAATGCAAAAATATTTAATAATATTTTAAAATGTGAAGAAAAATATCTACAAATATATTTCAAAGTATAAAAGTATTAAAAAAGAATGTTATAACGAATGGAGCATATAAAATATTATTAATAGCCATAATAAATATTTGTAAATTTCATAGGAAAATGTAGTGATATTTTTGAATTGCATAAAGTTTTGGCTTAAATGGGCTAAATATAAGTGGTAAGTAAATTTGTTGAATGTTGCTGTAAACATTTATTACAGGTGCTTCAAGAATAAGAATTCCTCCTCGTGAGAATGTTTGTTCACAAAAAATGTCAATGGCATGTAGTCCACCATACAAACGCGTTAGAGCTTTACGTCTCTTTGACTCGCCTGCTACTCCAAAGACTCTAATGGAGAAGAGCGCGATGCATACTCCATTCCCTACTAAGTGTACTAGACTATTTTCATTAGACAAACCAAGAGCATGTAGCTATCAAACAAAATCGGATAAACCAGCTGCCAATGTAAATCCTTTTACACCAAATGGAATGTTGTTAACTGCAAGAAAACGTACTAGGTCTAAACGTAGTCTTAATGGGTGAGTTCTATTATATTAATACATAATTTATGTGTATAATATTAATATATTTATTATTTTATTAACGTGTATTGTTGGTTTAATATTAGCTCTCCTGATATTCAAATTCCGAAATTCGATCTCGCTGATTCTGAGGAGTCAGATAACGAAGAAGTAGAACAAGCAACAAAACGTGTAGCATTGCAAGACTCTAACATTCCTAGATATCACCAAGAATTTCATGAACTGGGATTGATTGGTACAGGCGAATTTGGTTCAGTTTATAAGTGTATTAATCGATTGGATGGATGCATTTATGCCATTAAAAAAAGTATTAAACCAGTGGCTGGAAGTATTAATGAAAAGAATGCTTTAAACGAAGTATATGCTCATGCTGTTCTTGGTAAACATCAGCATGTCGTACGGTACTATTCGGCTTGGGCAGAAGATAATCACATGATTATTCAGAATGAATATTGTAACGGTGGTAGCCTAGCAGATGCAATCGTGAATTTAGAAAAAGAAAACAAAAAATTTACTGAAGCGGAGATACGGCAACTGTTGTTACATGTTGCTGAAGGTTTAAGATACATTCACAGTATGCAATTAGTACATATGGATATAAAGCCTGGAAATATTTTTATCTCGAAGGAAAAAAGGTTACTAGCAGTCAATTACGATTCAGCAGATGATGGCTTTGACGAGGAAGAAACTATAGAAGAAGAAATCACTTATAAAATAGGTGATTTAGGTCATGTTACATCTGTTAATAACCCTCAAGTTGAAGAAGGAGATTGTAGATATTTACCGACCGAGATTTTACGTGAAGACTTCAGTCACTTATCGAAAGCTGATATTTTTGCATTGGGATTAACTGTTTACGAAGCAGGCGGTGGAGGTCCATTACCCAAAAATGGACCCGAGTGGCATGACATTAGGAATGGAAATTTAAAAGAATTACCGCACTATAGTCGTGACGTTAATGAATTACTTAAAGTAAGTATTCCTTAAATTATCAAAAAATATCATGAAGAATTTTAATAATTTTGTTTTCGTTACAGTTGATGGTTCATCCAAACCCTGAAATGAGACCTTCAGCGGTATGTCTTATTCAGCATAGAGTACTATGTCCATTTGGGAATAAAACGAAAGCTCAACTTCGACGAGAACTAAATGCGGAAAAGCTGAAAAACGAAATTTTATCAAAACAATTACAGGAAGCCGCTAAATGCCTAAAAACTATTGCTCCAAACGTAGCGGCAATTAATAACAATATGAACGCTGGAGGATATAAATTAAGGCCTACGCCAACTAGAACTTCATCTCGAGTAGTGGGTAAAAAGGTCAACCGAAGCAATAGCACTACAAATTTTTGAATGTTCTGTGTTATGTTTATGTTGGACTAAAGGAGAAAGGTAAAGGTGCTTAAGGAAAAATATCTTTTTTAAGTGCCTTGACATTGTGATATGAATTAACTGTAGTTGTTAAGTGAAAATGCGATCACTATTTGATAATATGAGAATAATAAAATGCTACACAGAGTGAAATTGTATAGGAGTTACGAGTAAACTCTTGCAGCGATGAAGATATTACATTAATAAAAGTAAGTTACGATTTACAAACGAAAATTATAAGCAGGTAATTTTCCATTTCGGTATATTACATTTCATCGTTAGTTAAATTTTTAGATGGGTAATACAGTAATTTGATGCTGTTTATCTGTGTATATGTTTAATATTTCGTATGCAAGATGAAAAGTAGATATAAGGTTTTGAAAACGTAATAATTATTGCCAATATTCATCATTAGTCTATTATGTTGTACAAGATATATAACATGTGGAAATCTGTTTCATTAACTAAAGTAACAATATTATTGCATATTTCATCATGTTTTACTGTTCTTCGTACAAGTTTTTACTTATGTACTTTTGTACAATTATAGTATACACTCGTTTTAAAGCATTACCATTTTTTTAAATTAAACTAACCAGTATTATAAATAGAAATGTTTGAAGAAAGGAAATCTTTGTAGCATCAGTTACTAGTTAACGTTTTTACATTCATTTTTTCATTTTGGTTTGAGATAATTGGGGAGTACTAACAATAGACTGTAACAAATTGTTACAAATACATTATATTTTTATATATAGATATTTACGTGTAATGGTTTAATGTTATGTCTTGTCTAATGTTGTATAATCAATACTAATGTCTGTATTATCCATCATTTGTTGCTATCAAGTACTTGTCAAATGTTCAAATAATTATTTTTCTTTATTTATTGCACTTTTCATACTCAGACAAAAGACTGCTACTTTAAACATATCATAATGATTCATTTTTATATTTTTTCACAACCTTAAATTCAATATATTTTAAGGATATATACAAGTATCTTTTAAAATAATAATAATAATAAAATCGATATTATTTACTGCCTGTATACATTACATGTTCTTGCTAGTACAATAAGATTTTTTTTTTTTTTTTTTTTTAAATAGAGCTCGTGGTTGCCATTATAGAACTTCATCTAAGCATAATTCCCAGCCTTAAACATTACGATTTTACTCTGTGTATGATTTATATAAGGAACTAACTCTTAAAATCACAAGTGTTTCAAGAGGGAACCTTTGAACGTAAAATGTTTTGAGTTTAAATTATTTTTGTAGTATTTTTTATAGTCCTATTGTCTTTAGCATGCTCTAAAATTCGTATTATACTATGTTTCCTTGTGTTTTTATTATATTATATTGGATAGATACTGATGTATAATAATCCGCGTTTCTAGCATAGGTGGTATTACTGATTAGGTTTTTCTTATTTTATTTACTAATATAAAAATTCTCAAAAAAATATTTCCATTTCATTATCGAATACGTATTTAATTTAAAGATATTACAAATCTTTCTATGTTGGACAGATTGACCTATCGATTCTTTTTATTTCACTTTTTTCTTGTAACATGTTGTGTTTCTTGATCAAGAATAACAACGAATAATTGCTTATTATGATGTGTATTCAGTTGTATCATACCAAATGCATACAATGAATATCTCTGTCCCATAAAATCATCGATTAGATGTCTTATGTACAATTATTTGGCTTTTAGCTAATAAAAAAATCAGTCTTTGTACCTTGATTTAATAATCTCGTGTCACTGAGCATGCTAATTTGTGATTCTTTTATATTTGCGTTACTGCAGCATTTCGATGTTTATATTTATATAAAAAGATATAGCATATCTAATGCAATGCATTACTGTTTACAAAAACTGAAAAAGAGATCTGTACAGCATTTTACTAATATCATGAGTTGTTTATTGTAGTTTGCGGTACAAACTACCTGTATCTTTTATTTACCATACAAATTTGTTCCTTAAACTATGGTCCATTAAATATTTTCTTTTATGTTATCACAATGTTGAAAGGTGATACTATTAAATACTAATTCTTTTGAATGTAACCTCGTTTACAAACCAATGTTATGTATTTAGTCATAGGCCATGCTGTGTATAAAATTTACAAAGTTTTGTAAGAGAAAATGTGAATAAGCGATATGGAAGCTATTTAAGCTTCAAAATATGTGCCAGGAAGGGTGGACCCCAACTTCTGGCAGTCAAGTATTCTGGTAATATGCCATGTTTACATACACTGTGAACTGTTGTTTCATTAATCTTATTATTGTATTATTATTATTATTATTATTAATATTATTATTATAATAAATGATCATGAACTAATTTTTTGTGATTTTTCATTTTGACGTATTAAAAGTTAGTAGTACTACAAAAAATTAAATGGAAGATATAAATACAAGATTCATCAGAATTATATTGCAATTTTGTTAATATACAATACAACAAATGTTAATAATAGGTGTGATTCTTTGTTCTCGAGGGGTCATGATTGAGGGAGTGCCCAGGGGTGTCTCAGATATCCCCACGAAATGAATTTGATGCTATCGCCATCTGTTCAAGAATGGTGGAAACTACTCAACAATTTACCGACCGATCTTCCGAGAGTAGGTAAGTAAGCTTCGCGCAATCTATTAAAAAAAAGAAGGATGTTCTTCGGAAAACCGTTATGTTCTGATTTAGATCAAATTTTGCAAATAAGCTCTTTTTTTGCGAAAGGAAACATCTGTGAGAATGGTTTTTGGCGATTCGAAAAAAAACTTTTTACCATTTTGATGTCATTCCCTACCATTCCGACGGTCGATTCTTCTGAAAGTGTCGGCAAGGTAGAGAACATCAAAATTGTAAAACAAAATTCAAATCGCCAAAAACCATTTTCACAGATATTTCCTTTTGCAAAATTTGGCCTGAATCGGAGCCATCCAGCGAACGGGATCGATTAAAAATAAGAATGAGCAACTAAAATGTCAAAGCCTTTGTATTTTTTTATCTGTATCCGACGCGCCTTAACATAATTACTTTCCGCATGAACTTTCCAAAGCAACTTTCACAAGTTTATATTTCAAGGGCACTTAACACGTAGATACATTCAGAAATTAGAGTAAATGATATGTTTGCTGGCAGAACTTTTGTGTGCTATTAATTACAAAGGCTGTGTGCTCTGTACGTGTATAAACAGAAGGCAAACACTACCTTCTTATTTTCATTGCGTTTTAAGACAAGACGAAAGTACAGAGTACCCCATAGTCCCCTGATTGTTTTACAGGTTTTGTTCAATTAGAAGCAATCTACATTAGTTACACAACTTCGAAGTTCAATGTACTTTTTTTTTTTGGTATTGCAATCTTGCAATTAGCACTCTTTAGATTCATACACGTAAAAAGTGTATAGAAGAGTGCCTAATGTACAATTAGACATAATTCAAGTATATGTTTGAGCATAGCCGAGATTCTTTTTTAGAAATTAACGTCATCCATTTTGCTTCTCATTAACACCATTCTCTTGTGGTTTCAATGGTTTAATTACATCAATTGAATTAGGCTGATCCATATCTAATTGATGTTTCTTCTTTTTCTTGGAAATTTTTCTGAAAGGAAGGATTAACAAAATAAATATAGAAATTTCATAAAAGTTATTAGAAATTATTACACGACGACATACTTTCCAAATAATTCACCATCCTGTATGGACTCTGGAAGTTTCTTGTTCAGTGTTTCTGGAAGTAGTAACGACAGCATTCCACCGGAGAGCACGCATGATCCGAAAATAACAAAAGGCAGAGGCATCCAAATTTCAGACTGTAAAACAGTAGATTCATCATAAACACTATCGTGGAATGTTTTATCTTCATAATCAATATTTTCTGTACCATATATGTACTTATTTAAATTGCAAACAAGATCTATTTACCAAATGAATCACATATGGAGCAATAACGCCACCGATTCGAGCGAAAGTAGAACTCGCTCCAAGACCGACATTTCGAATAACTGTAGGAAATTGTTCGGCAGTAAAGACGTAAATAGCACCATAAGACGATGTAATTGTGAGTTTACCGATCATTGCTAGACACACCACCATCCATGGAGCGTCTGAGAACATTCATTAATACAATAATCATATTTAATGCCATCCAATTAAAAGTACGGCAACAAAATTGTGCGTCTTATTTTACTAACCAGCAGGTACTAATAAAATGCCGAGCAACGCTACTCCAGATACTAACATACAGCCGCACAAAATGATTTTTCTACCCCAACGATTTAGGGTGAAAATTAAAAATGTGTACGCAGGTATTTCTACCAAACCGGAAATAACGAAATTAACATAATCGTTTCCATCAAGATTGGATACGTGCCAGGATAATCCATAGTACGTACCGCTATTTACAAGCCTGAAAAGAGAAAAAATTTATATTATATTCGCGGATATTATCAGGCCCCCCAGCAGAGCAAGGAGGAGGTAGTATACATTCCTCAGAGTTTCTTAGAATACTACATTATATACCTCAGAAAGTTTATATACTTATATTTACTTTTATGTTTCTTTAGAAATAAGAAAGAGGTAAGATGAATAAATTTCAAGAGAAATATGAAATAACTTTCTAAAGTATTAAAATACAGGAGAAAATACTTAAAACAAACGTTACCAATTGAAAAATAATAGAATACTTTTTCGTCTCAAATTCGGATAGCGGAAAAGATCGAACAACGATGGCTTTCTATAATCTGGTGCTGTGTCCTCGCTGTTGTTGTTAAGAAGCGTATCCAAAACTTCGCTGGGCATCTCTACGCCATTTTCTAGGGAGGCACGTTGAAGAATATCTTTTGCTTCTTGCGTGCGACCCTTGGTTAACAACCAACGAGCAGATTCAGGGATAAACCTGTTGATGGTAGAAGGATTTTTAGAAAATAATACTTCTGATAACATTCAAATTCAGTTTCGATGGTATTTAATAAAAGGACTAATGGTCTCACCACCAGTAAAGGAGGAACGCTATGCTCGGTATAGTGATTGCCACTTGTAGCATTCTCCAGTCAGTTATAAAATACGCGAAAGCAGCGGTGAGGATGTAGCCGGTCGTGAAAAACAATTGGCAACCTACCCCAGCTACCAAACGCTTCTTAGGACCTACCATTTCGAGGGCTGTAAAACAATGTTCTCGTTAACAGCAGTATTTTTAGAGATAATTATATATTCGGTTGATCAGATTTGCTGGACCTGGATTCGAACCCGGATCTAACCATTAACTCTAACCGTTAAGCTATCCAAGCCGTGGACGAATATGCTCTCCCTAATTGTTTTAAGGCTCAAATAGCTGCCGCCTACAGTATCGAGTAATATCTGCAAGGTACTGTTTATTTATCGTATTCAGTTAACGAATCAAATAGAGACTTACCTATAACATAAGCGACCAGAAATACACCGCTTGTAGTTGAACCGACAATCAATCTGAAGATAACGTATGATATAAACTCGGGTGAAACTGCGACTAGTATACCACCGACCAGCTGTATGACTAAAGACAGGAAGAAAATTGGTCTACGTCCAAACTTATCGGACAAACCACCGAAAATCATCGAGCCAAGCATGACTCCTACCATGAACAAAGCGTCCCCCGTAGCTCTCATCCATGCCTTGTCACAAATCAAGTTCCACTGAAATCAAAGAGGAAGAAGAAGAAAATTCAATATTCAGACAGCACAGGGTAAACGCTTGATTCAACAAACTGGGATTCTTTTTTTCTTTTTAATAGAATTTTTATCACGACCTATATTGTTAAGGGAAATCAGGATGTGCCAGATGTACCTCAGAAGTAGTGGTACTTTTATATTTTCTTCTGTCGTAGACGTATCCTTCGCATGGCATGATCCGTTGAGGGTTGAGATCATCCTGGACGAGAATGTTGTCGAGATACCTATTGAACATTGTGTCGTTCACGATACCAGGTACTTCGTATCTGTAACACTGGGACCATCCGTTTATCTTATTGTCCCATGGATAGCTTGAGTTCATTATATCCTGAGGTAAACAATACGTTGCGTTTTCTATGTTCTCGTACGGTAACACGCATCTGAAACGAATATTAACATGATTTACATGGAACGAAATTTACAAACAGATGGGAATAGATGAAAGTACAGTATCGATGCTGACCTAGTGTTCATTTTCGCGCCAAGAAATACACCTGCAACCTTGTGAAAAGCGCAGGATATCGCTGGAAGGCAGAGCATAAGGTAGATCCTTCGTTGATACCGTCCAAACTCTCCCATACGTAGGATAACATCGTCGTATGCCATTTTTCTTCCTTGATTTCTCTTATTCTTCTTCGTTTACGTCTTCGAATCCCCGTGGTCCTTCTGCTCGGGGATACGCTCCTAAAGGAATTTCTTCCTGTCGTCGAATCCGTCTCGACGGAGATAATGATTTCTTGCCAGGGATAGGTCCTTAGACCTATACTGTGCGTCGATGAATCAAATTACTGACCGGTACACTATGAGAAAACCTTCTCTCTTGTCTCCTTATCGAAGAGAAAAAAAAATTCACACGTTTGTCTCTTAGTTTATCTTTAAAGAACTTTACAGCCTTTGCTTTTTATTCCTGATTGGAATTTTGCAACTATCACAAGATGTTTTAAAACTTTATGTCATTTTGGATGATACAGTTTATGAGATTATTTAAATTAGCTTGGAATAATGCAACGAAGAAAATATCTTCCTGATGAGTAAAGAAATGTCTGGATTGTAAATATTATTTTCCTGGTATCTTCAGACGGTATTCTTCTTAAAATACACAGATTAACTTGACTGGACCGGATTCTCTCGGACTTTCCTCTTTCAGTCTGAAATTCAGAAATGCAGTCGTGTTATTAATTAGGTTTACCGTGACGTTTCGTACGATCGATAGCTTTCAAAGTATGAAATATTATGCGTAATTCATTTCTAACGCAGCGGTATCCTACTTTCTTATCCATACGCGAGATTGTACGTTTTATCTTGAACGTTACACGGGAAGTCCTTAAATTAGGCGATTAGGCAATTAGAGCAAGTTATCGAAATAGAAGCAGAGTCTTATAAGACAAAATTAAATGATTCAAGGATTTCTATATCCGTCTTTCAACATTTCTGTAGATTTCTGCAATTGTAAAGTGCGCATTATTGATAAAAACATGTTGCTCCTGTTTGGATACCGTTTGTTTTAAATATACCCTTCTACGCTATATTGTACTTGATCAAATGTTCATTTTGATAGGACGTTTTACTTGGCAAAATTTTCAAATCAATATTACATTCCGTCCAAATAAATTTCGTTCTTGATTGTACTTTGTACGATCTTACATAGTATATATTATACACTATTTTTACGGTACCTTGTACTGTCAAAATACTAGCACATATTCCTAGTACTTTGAGATAGTAGATAGGAACCTGTTAATAGAGGCTAATGCTATAGATGATCCGAAAATTAATTGGCCATTCAAGGCCGATTGCACAGTGGTCCTCGCCACATCGTTCCTATCTTATTATCTACGTTGAATCTAATTGAATACAATTAATAGTAAGTTAATTGAATAGAAGAATGAAGCAGACTATCAATTCCAGACGAATTTTCTTTTCATACAGCTTTGGTAACAAGATCATGAAGATCTATTGAAGAGACATTTCGGTAATTGAAGCGAATAGGGGTCAAAGGTCGATCAGCTTGGGAATGTTTCAAATTTTAATTTATAAAAAAAAGATGCTAGCTTGGCTAATTGAGAAAGCATTGTAAATTGTCCTGGATGGTATCGAGGATCATCTCGTTGAACGAAGATAAATTTTGTAAAGTTACAAAGAGGTGACAAGCATTGCGACACCAGCCACATGTTATCCGATCATTAATAATGCAAAGGGTGCTTTTACCGGTTTCAGCTTTTCCGAATGATTACGATCAGCTAGTTACAATATAACACAGCTTATATGGAAGCAATTATTTAAAAGATTGCATCGTGTAAATACTTGACGAGATTTAAAAATAGAAGTCTAATAATAAGCTTCAAAGGAAACGTGTCGATTATCTTTAATTATTCTTGTTTCAATTTGCAAGGATAATGAAGAGCGAAGAATTAAGATTAGGTGGTGTTAACGGAAGATCGAAACGATGAATGAAAAGGGAAGCTGTAAATCATATTTCGGAGCAATTCGGAAGAATTAATTGAATGCGAAGGAAAAGAAGAATGTTATTTTTGAACGAGTTGCAACTGGCTAATTTAAACGAAGTAATTATACAAGTTGTAAAGTGAATAATCAACTTGCTGATTGTTTGCAAGATAAGTTACTAAAAAAATAATTTGAACGCATAATAGAAGAGTTACAAGCACCTTGGAAAACGTAATTAACAATGAGCTGAGAATTAAAAAGACAAGGAAGAATGTTTGAAGAAGATTAAAAAAGAAACAATAAGTCTTACGTTTAACGATATGCAATAAATCCCTGACTACTATTAACAACGTACTACATAAAAATTTACATAATTCTAATCGAAGATATGCAAATGAAATAGCAACTCGTAAAGATTTCAAAACAATGCTAGTTTACAGTGTTTTTCAATTCTACGTGGAAAAATACGTACGAAAGGAATTGAAGAAATTCGTATTGAAGAAGATATCGATGATGTACACGCGTAAACGAGAGGGAATTAGATTCATTGTGAAACGTACAGCAATTTACACAAATGAACGGCCGCGTTATCGTCGTGGCCGTTCTCTTCGAATATCTCATGCAATTTCATTTAGTTCCCAAAGAAAGTACACGCTGTTTCGCGTGTCGAGTCGAAGTACTGCGAGTATAACCGTTCACTCCTTCCATTCAATGAAATGTGTGAATGTACCATCTACCGTGATTCTCATTCCAGAACGCAACCAGTTTTATACTACAGAAATTTCAAATGAAACGAAACCTGTATAACTATAGGAAACGACCTTTCCTTTCTAACTTCAGAATCTGGTAAGAAGATTGAAGAATATCTTCATTTAGATGCTCAAAATTTACCTAATAATTCATGCTCTTCTCAAACACTTTCTATAGCACCAAAAGCTCTATGAAAATAATAGAAATTACAAATATTTAAAACAGAGTGCTCCTACTTTTTAGAATAGTTTCTACTGTTTCTACATAGAATATTATTCGTGTTTCGTACAGGAATAAATTTCCCAGAGAATGTTCCCTCGTGTGACGAATTCACTGAGCTCACAGTCTCACACTTGTCAAAGGAGCATCAACGTTGAATGGAGGAACGCGAAACGATCCCACACGCACTAAGGACGGACGATGACTGCCGGCACTTTGGCTGGCAATACGCGGGAACAAAAGTATATGACCCTTCCTCGGAGATAGCAGTGGCGCCGCAGCCACCACCAGCCAGTCTACCCTCCTCTTACTCTTCTGGTTATCCCTGATGGTCAACGTTGCTGACGATCCAGGGCCCCCATCAGCATTCTCCTACCCCCAATTGCAACCACGGTCATCTGTCCCAAATGGGTGTCTGAATACCAGCGACTCGTTGTGCTTGAAAATTCTACATTTCATTCTTCGGTCGCGCTGCTTCTTTCGCTTTATTCCGCGTCACCTAATAGTGAATAGAGTTCTACCTTTTTTTCTTTTTTTCAACGCTTTGCGGTTGCTTAAAATTCTATTTTTGGTCCCAGCTTTTCTTCGTTCCTTTGGTTTATTTATGATATTAATATTAATCAGTATCTGCAACGGTCTGAGATCTTTGAGAATTCTATTTCTGAACGTTATCTTCATCGTTGTGGCCATGAATTTTTTTGTAGATAAAATCTATATCTATTGATTAGTAGTTGAAGGTTTTTCATTTGATTTTCAGTCCCTTGTGTTTCTTGAAAGAAGGTCTATCCAAGATTATTCCCTATGATATTGGAAAACTTCACTTCTAATTCTTCCTACTCCCAGTTTTCTTTTATCATTGATCAAACATTCCAGCTTTGAATCTCCTCCTTCTTTCCTTCCTCGTGTTTGTCCTTATGGCTAACTAAAAATTTGGACTCTTAATTTGGCTTCTCTATACTTATTTCACCTATGTCGATTTATATTTATTAATAATTAAAAATGTTACCTTTGATTTTCAGTTCGCTATGTATCATGCAAATTCTGTTTCTGAGAATCCACAAGGTTGAAAGTTAAACATTTTTCCAAATCAAACCGGTGTTTAAGCTAATGTCTGACGTTATCACACATACAAAGATTATAGACAAATAATAATTTTATCAATGTATATGTATATGGACATCGTGAGACTGTCTTCGAACAGTCGCTTCATACGTTAACAGCTAAAACAAACGTTTAGATCGTCCTTCTGTTGAAAGCATTGCTGCCGATTACGTTATGTAAAACAAATTAGTACAACGAATCCCGTTAACATTATGCAAACATCTCCTAGGCAGAAAATTACACAAAAGCAATAAATATCTTTAGCGTGATTACTTTCAGCTTAACTTCAAGAAATCGTCGCTCAAATATTATCATTGAAATAATGTGACAATTATCAATTGCAATTTTACTATAAGATCCATTCAAATGTAAAAAGACTCGTCAAATTACAAAGCTCGTGTATTCCATAAAAATTGGGGATTGTCAAAGTGTTGATCGCGTATATCGATATCTAATGATAGATCCTATCAGAGTCTAACGGTCAAACGAACATAGAAGCGATACAAATGAAAACGTGCGAGAAAAAAAAGAAGAGGAACGGTGTTGTATAGATGTCTAGCATCGAGCAAATAAAACTGGTGCAACGAGCCATCGTGATTATGCGCATTGAATTATGCCGGTTCTCGGATGCAAACGGATCGCGTAGCGACACGTTGATAATACAACGAGTCAGCGAATTGATTGCACCGCGTATAACACGGTTGAAACGATGACAAGGTAAAAAGTGGTCGTATGCATTCGCGGCATACCAAGCGCGATCCGGTCGCGTGCTGGAACAGGGCTCGATCCAGAAGGCTTAGGACCGCTGGAGAATGTGGCCCCAACAGGGCCCACCGACTTTCCGATCCTTACAGAACGTTCCTCGAAACTTTTCGAATATTTATCATCTCCTTAGAACGCGTTTCGAGCGCGATGATGCGTTCGTTTGCATGCTTCATTTGGGAATTATGAATCTCTAGGAACAGCTTCCTTTTGAATCGCCGAATCTTCTGACCAGAAAGGAATTTATGCTATTGAGCATCTTGTGGAGGTATAAGACAGGTTCGTTCCTCGGTAATAAATAAATCAATAGTAACTGCAAAAAATAAAAATAGAGAATAATATAAATTATTCATGATAGGTGATCGGGAAAATAAAATGAGGTAGGAGGAAATCTTGTAAATTACGAATCCTGACGCATCCTTCGAAGGACGAGTAACAAAAGAGGTCGGAAGAGATGTAATTTGCAACAGGTTTCGTTCGATGAAAAACATTGACCATCATATGCGAAACAGTACTCATCCAGACGTCGGATTATATCCCTGGTAATATTAAGGAGCATAACTTTTTCATCTGGTCAGCAGCCTTTCTTTCTACCTGGTCTGCTGGATTTTAAAGAAACGTGTAATTGTACGTTCAGTGTACTATAACCGGATGCTTGATAGTTACCCTAATTCTTGGTAAATTGTGATACCCAGGGACGAAATTGAAGTAATTAACTTTAAAGACATGTACGAAGCCTCGTTTCGCTTGTGCTACTTGCTCTATGTCTGCTTTTGAAATGCACATGTAGCTTTATAGCATTTCACGTTGCAGTTCTAAAACAACCAGTCTCTACATAATATCTCATGAAATATAAATGAGCTTGTCTCTAATTTACGATCGTTGTTGCATCTCGGTGTCATTCGTTAGAATTTCAGCTAACTTTTATCGTATCCGAAATTTATTGTTTCTAATGCATCCTAAATCACGTAGAAGGTTTCTGTACTTGGTAACCCAATTGCTTATGATTTTACCATTAGTAGATGAGCTCATAGTAGAACTGAAGACGAGAAAAACAATAATCAAGCTTACGTTATCTATAAATAGCTTGTGTGCGTTTGCAACGAGTACCGAGAGGTCAGCGTGAAAGGGAGAATCCAGGCTACAGGTGCATTTCCCATTGAATACGAATTGAATCGAGGATGATCCTTTCGACGAAAAATTTCAGCACAAGGATGACTGAGAAATTTTCAGTTGAAACTCGGAGCTTGTAGAGGTAACAAAGGTGAATAATTTCCTCTTGATTAAGGAGAGCTTTCAATCTTTGGAGTAAGGCGTTTAGGAGGATAACTGGTTTCTGAAATATAAAATTAATATTCATTTTAGCATGTGGTTTTCTTACATTCAGTACTTTAAGGTTGTAGTCTCTTGTTTGAAAGAAATTCTTGTAATACCTTTTAACAAAAATTACAACTTAGTATTTATCGTTAAGGAGTATTTGTAACGATCAGAGAAAGCTCCTGAAATAATCCCTTGAAAACAGTATAACCAGCTTTGAGTAAGTTCATTATTTTAAGCAGCTAGAGGGATTCTTGAAACGCTTTCTCGAAATAACTTTCATTTGCGAGTAGATCATTCTACAATTGTTTCGAGCAATACGAAAATAATCTGTTAATTTTGGAATTTTATTAGACACCTGATACGATAACAAACTGTTCTGTGATATCAAAACGATCTTGTGTCGACAACTTAATTCACCGTAATATATAGGCTCGACGAGTGATTAAACATACAAGAAATTAAGAGGATTTTCAGTAATTAGTCTCGTTTGATGAATGCATACGATGAAATCGTTCAATGACTTTTAACGTGATTGCGAGTTGAACAAGCAATTACCATGGATTAAGCATCAATAAGATGAGAAAAAGATAATTAAAGTTATTAAACGATACCGATCAAGATGATTGAGATTCAACGAACGACATATCATAATTGATGTTAAATAACGCGCACTGATCACATATGCATCTGATAGGATTTAAACTGCATTCCAGTTAAATCTACCGATGCAGATGGAGCGAGTTCCACAAACCATAAAAGATAAATAATTAAACATCATATACAGTCGTAGGTGATATCACTGTGGTTGCGATAAGATCGTGAACAAGTGAAATACGTGTGCTGAATAATTGAACAAGATTTTGAATTTTTCTAATGAAAGGATACAATTATATTATATAACGTTGCAACTCGAAGTTCTGCGGTGATTTCAGCGAAACGATCTTATTAGTCCATCGACTTGTATGTCTTTTTAAGGCTCAACCGGTAGAATTATATCATCTTTTTTTTTTTTTTTCTACATTATCTTGCTTCGTCGATGGTCCTTGATGACTGTTTCTTGTATTCCCCAGCTACCCAGTCAATTAGTCGCAGATACTAAGCTTTTTATCTTTTATAAAAACCTATTCCTGTTTTCACTTTCTCATGACTTACATAGAAGTCGATGGGATTCCGTTCAGAGGAAGAGGCCATCGTTCACAATAAGACCTATTAAACCTATCATGGACTCAACTTTCTAATCTAATCAAACTGAAGTCGAAACCGATCTACAGTCTTTACAGTGGGAAATTAATGAAAAATTCACGAAGCATTCTCTCCGCATAACATTCCACTTAAATCGTAGGAACGATTAAAAGTGCATCAACCTGATAGGAGAGTTGTGTTGCATAGATTCGTAAGAACCACGCCTTCGTCGAGCGCGTGATTCTGCGACCCACGTGGACGTACATTCTCTTGGAACGCTCACGTTTTACAGTTACCGTGCATACTACGGATACTAACAATTTCTAATATCGTCGTGGCTTCCTCGAAATAACGCATCCTTCGTATAATACAGCAAAATGGAAAATTATTCCTGATCGCACCTTCGCCGGTAAGTTTTCAAACAGATGCGACTATTTCACCTAATAATGTATTATGAAAGAAGTAATATTGCAATAAATAAATTAAACAGCATAAAGTTACCTTCAACATCTTTTAAATACATTGATGAAGAGGATCATAGGGGTTGAAAAGCATCATCTTGACTTGTACTACTACGTGGACGTTCTAACATCTACTTTAATAATCATCAATCGTCGATCGTCCCGATCCTTATCGTTAACTGAAAACTTCTATGGTCATTTGAGAAGGTAACAGCAATTCTGGATGGAAAAATAAACAGGATAATAGAGTCTCGTGTAAAATGCAAATGTTGAAGGAATCGCGGGTGATAAGAAATGGTAGTGAAACGTCAGTGCGTCGGCGCCCATGGATGGCTACCCCCTTTTAGCTACACCCATCGCCGTTGGAGGCCGAGACCAGAGGCTCGAGAGCGAACTCGAAGGCTATTTATAGTAGGGAGCGGCTTCTAGTTCCCACCGCGTGAAAAATCGCGACTGGTTTCCTGCGAGCCAGAGAGAAGGAAAGAAGAGAGTGAATACGAAAGAAGAGAAGGGAGGCGGACGTCTCTGGAGGGAGGTAAACGAAAGAAGAGAATTAGTCGCTCCGAGGAGAGACAGAGAAAAAGAAGAAAGAAAAAAAGAGAATCTTCAACTCTATACTTGACTTGACTCTCTTATCCATTCTCGCTTCGTTTATACGTTCATCCCGAAAGGCTTGAAAGCCCTGGAAGGCCGGTGTCCTTGCAAGGGCGTTATCGTGAACTATGTATACTCGCCGAGGGGACAAGAAAGCTACCGTTCACATCCCCCTCCGCGGAATTTCAGCACAGAAATATAACCACCGAGCTCGTTGTTGGCGGGAAACTGGATGTCCGTGTCATTCGGTATGCCAGGATCATTTCGAACTAGCTATGATGTTCGTTACGACGAAGAAAGGGAAAGAGAACGTTCAAGGATTCTAAAAAAAAAAATATATATATATATATATTGTAATTTAGGATAAAGACCTCTGCTTTTCATTACTATACCGACTCCATAAATGTTTGAATTACTATATTACACGACGGTTGACGCATCTTGCTGCGTGATATGAAATACGATAAATGTTTATACGAGAATAGACACTATTTAGAAGAGAAATCACCTTTGATTACGCAATATTCCTAGTAATGCGATGCTCGTTGTAATGTAATTTAACTATTAAAAATGATACGTTAGGATGTGGTACTCCTTAACTTGAAACTTGATCCTCTGATCTTCTTGATAGTTATCTAGTTTGTAGCAGTACTCCGATGTTACAATTTCTGGAAAAAATGATAATTTTAAACACATCTGTGATATTCTAAATATGTAATGTTTGAATAGCGATTACGATATACGAAAGGTTCAAAACACTTGTGATGTCTTTCAATGAATAATATTGGGAGACTTGACAGATGGCTTTTATGAAATTGATTTCCTCATTAACATGTCTCCGCTACAGGAAATGCATCGTTCCTCTGCCACGTACTGTATAAGCGGTGTTTTTCAATACAGTTAATATGTTTCAGCGTTGTTCACGCTTTGCACACACCCATTTCATCCACTAATCTTCTTTAACAATATAAAAAAGTGTAAAGTTACAAATGATTTAATCGATTCAGTAGATGAAAACCAGATGTTACGCCCTTGGTCGCAATATTCTCCCGCGTCTAGTTCGTACTGTGCGCATGCGCATTGACGATTTTAGCGAGCAGACTCTCGCGCATAAATTCACATGCCAGTGACCCAAATTATTTCGAAGAAATCATCAATGACAGAATTACCTATTTCACATTGAACTTCTCGAAACATTACTTCCTGGCACGCTGAACACTGGCAAGCATGTATCTGTACGATTGCGAATTGCGACAACGATCGTTTTTAGAAACGTTTCATTAGACACTTAGTCGACTCGGCGTCGACTACCCGCCGGCCGGTCGAACATGCAAGTTAATCGATAAAACCTAACGAACTGAAGCTGATGGTTCCACGACAGATGAAATGATCTCTCCTCTTTATTGTACACGAAATATATGCCAACCTTTTATACCTGTACGTTTCTGTCATGGAATCGTAGATTTCTTGACAATTCACTGGCAGTCGAGGATTCACTTCACGCAGCTAAACGTCAAACACATGCATACGCACAGATACATGAACGAGAAGAACGATAGGTCGAAGACCCTCCAATAACGAATGTTTTCCAAAGCCATCGAAAGATGGCAGTTCGTACGATTTATGAATTATCGAACATCGAACGATTTATAATACGCCCTACATAATTAGAGTGCTCTTTGAACTTTACATTGTACGTTACATAACACCATACTTCCTATGTAAAAAATATTTCTTCATTTTAAGGATTTATGATTGCTTTGAAAGTTTTAAAATTCTTCAAATTCCCTGAAATTATTAATTTGCAGGGCCGGCCCTGGGTCTAAGCAGACTAGGGCCCCCATAAGACAATTTTGCGTCTAAGAATGCAAGAAGAGTAATGTTTACTTGAATATCTTGAAAATCTGAATTAGTTATACAAGCTTTAATGTTAATTTTATAAATTTTATTCGAGGTATTTTTTTTATGTCATATATGTGTAGGGGCCCTTTTTCGGAACTCGTCTCGGACCCCCGAAATCTCAGGGCCGGCTCTGTTAATTTTTATTATTGTACATTTGTATTGCATGGAAATATTCATCGTATTGTTATGAACATCATAAATTACTAATAAAAGCGAATGATGCGTTTGATCTACTGCACGCTGATAGGCGTTACACTTGCACTTGACCTCTTGTCGAGTTCTATGCTTATGCACAGTTCATCATTCATTCATACAGATAACATCGTTTGATTGCATTGAGAGAAATATATGGTTATATGCGGCCTGAAATATTTGTTAGCCGTTTCCAACTGAGAAAAGATTAAGATAGTAAAATTACTCATCACCTGTAACGATAAGACATATATTTCCTAACATTAGCAAAGAATTATGTCACCGCAACGTGCGGTAAATGTTAAGGATAACAGCAACGTTACACTTACAGCATTACATACTTCTTAACTCGCATTTATATTGCGTGCTTCTCATCTCACGACTCTGCATACAAAATAGAAATGTGTTTAGCATTAAAAACATAATTCTAATGTAAACCGCGTACGCGAACACGTTCACAATTCTAATCGGGATACGGTAATATGTTTACAAACCGTTTTATTTTCAAAATTATTATTTAATGTTAAAAAAATCTTGATCTAGACGGGCATTGAATTGACGAAGGAACGTTGACATCTCAAATTTCATCGCATCCGCTGAACACGTGTTCCTCCTTTCTTTCGTTTAGATTAGCATACTTGGCTATCTTTGTGTCAATTTATAAACGTAATTCGTAATATAGAACTCTACTGGCTCTACTCGAAACGATTGGCATTGACCGGTGACAAACGCGTAATCGCTTCACATTAACAGTATAAATTCCGAGTGGGACTACAGACTGGTTGGGCGACAACATTGTAAGAGAATTATACACGAATGTGTTGTATAAGATTAAAAATCAACTCTTACATCCGTTCAAATGCTTCCAGTTTAAATAAAATTTTGTTTTATGATACAGGTACGGTGCCTAATACACTATCAAGCGTTGAATTTATATTAATAATCGTGCAAACGTTTCTAAATATCCCTATAATCGAATATGTCGATAATTATTTCTTTAAAAAGATATAGTTCAATCCTGTAATGAAACGACAAAGCATTTATTATATTCGTAATCTACGTATATAAATATACGTATAACTGCAAATATTGATATGCGATAAGATGTTCAGCATGTACTAAAACTTACCTAGATTATTAATCCTATGGAAGTTCGATCTTGTACGGTCATCGATTACATATACTGTACGGATCGGTTATTGTGCATATTGAGTTATTTCACTTTGAGTAGCACATTATTTTGTAAAAAATTTCTTATAATTACATCCATTTGTCACATTACCCAAACGGTTTAAATGATTATACTTAAAACGATATCTGCAATAATAGCACAATGTTTAAACACTGCACACCGGTACCATCAATTAAGACAATTATTATAAATGGTCAATCTTCCTCAGTTCTAAAATCAATAAACCTCGATTAGTATCCAATACACCATAATTCATAGTTTGTAAGAAAATTTTTTGGGGCATTTAAATAGGTTCACTACGATGTGCTCCTGTTTGAACGTTCGTACGCGCTTAACTGACAATATGAAGCTTTGTAATTTCCAGGTCGTACGTACCTATCTGTAATGGATATGAAACACATATCACCAAGGACATGTCAAACACAATCTACTTGTAATTTTGTACAATTTGCATTACTCTTCATTATATAAAAATAGTGCATTTAAAATGTTGCACGTGAAGTTGCCGCTACAAACTGTCGATAAGCGATTTCCTTCTTTATGAACACCGATCGATTAATCGAATGATCCTGCTTCCTTATGCATAAACAATTAGGCTGTCTGAAATTTGTTAGTACTTCAGTATGTGTTCACCTTCAATTAATAATAATATCAAAATTATTACCTCATGAATTTATTAGATAAATTTATTCTTTGATTTTAATTATAACATTCCTGATTCGAACAACGTGCAAGGAGGTCAGTCAAATTAGTGACACGTTTGAAAAGGGTAATACACTGCTATTTCTGGATGCTGTAATAGGACAGAATACGTTATGGAATTTATGTAGTATATTGTTACCTCTTTTTGTTTCATATTTGTCGAGTATAATTGTAGATTAGTTTCGATTTTCTATTGTTGCGATGCAAAGTTCAGAAGATTTAAATCAAGGGTTGCAAAGGTAGCGACCTCTACTGAAGATCAACGAAATGATTCTGGGCGAGCTATCGATTCTTGCCGAACATTTCCGGAAATAACCGAGGTCGTGAAAGTGACGTATGTACGTCAGTAGTGTGGGCCGACCCGCGTATCGTCGGTACAATTCTAAAATTTTTTCCATTTGATTTCTTGCGGAAAGAGCACTAATACCGCGATACGCAATCATGAATTTTCTTTAGTACAGTTGTAGGAGGACTCGCGAACAAGAAAAGCGGCTCGTTATCGTATGTTCGTCTAACTGGATTGAGACAAATTTCTGCTCTCATACGTGTGTGTTAGGGCCCCGATCAATCTTTAAGTTCACGACCCCACGCTTATTCGATTAATTCAGTTTATTCGTAACAGAATTCACGCTAAATTGATAGCGTTTCGACAATTCTTCTTTTGTGAGGTACATCGCGAGTCATTATCGTCAGGATCGATTACCGTGACCTAACCTTGAAATCACAAATCTTTTCCCCCTGACTGTCCAGAGAATTTCCGAGAAAGATTACAGTTTCCTTTCCTTACAGATTTAGTTCGGTGGTCACCTACGGGTGAATAGAGATGGCCACCCCTCAAACTCCAGGTAAGTAACTTCTTCCTTTGTTTCCAATGAAATTGACAACCATGTTCCAATTCTTCTGTCATGTTGACAGTAATTACCTAGAGAAGGAAACAGAAACTGTTAACGATTTTCGCTTTAGCAAATATTGTTTAATAAATAATAAGCTGTTGTATAATGATTATTACTTTCATTCAGAAAAAATCGTTTAGAGGAATATTATGGAAACATAAAAGAAAAACATCAATTATTTCAGGTATGGATCCCTGGATAATTCAACCCAGGGAACGTGCAAGATACAGAGAACAGTTTGACTCGTTAAAGCCGATCAATGGGGTTGTCACTGGAGAGCAAGCAAAAGAATTTTTACTTCAGTCTCAACTTCCACCTCGCATTCTTGGACAGATATGGTATTTGTATTCTGCTTTTATAATTGGTACTTCTATAATTATCATGCTTATAATGTATTTCTTTTTATATAGGGCTTTATCAGATACAGATGCAGATGGTAAAATGGATATAAATGAATTTAGTATTGCATGTAAATTGATTAATTTAAAGTTACGTGGCTATGAGATTCCTAAAGCATTACCACCTAGTTTGGTGCAAAGCTTAAAGTCACTTTCTGCTGGTAAGTATAAAATAAGGAGATAGTAAATAATCATGCTTAGTATGTGGAATAATCATAACTTATATGTGTAGGTGATGCTAATGTGACAAACTTAACAAATGGAGCTGCCAATATTCCATCACAAAATAATGTTGCTTCCTTAGTGAATTTATCTGGTATGCCACAAGTTCCAGTACAACCAGTACAATCTTTAATTGGTGGAGTATCCATGCCTGGATCTGTTCCACGTCCTCTTATAGGTCCTCCACCTACAAATGGACCATTGCCAGGCCATGCAATTAGACCTGCCTCACCTATGAATTTACCAGGTAATTATATCATAAATTTTAGATTAAAATATTTGCAACATATTATTAAAAAAAAAAAAAAACATACTATCATAGGAATCATCAAAGTTTTACACTAATGTTAAAAGTTACATTTCACAACAAATATAATCATATTATAGTTAAATTTGCAGCTGGTATGTTTCACAACTAAATATTTCACTATCAAAATTAAATCAAAGAAATTTGTATCATTGCCAATGTCTGCTTCAACTATGATCATTGCTCATTATAGTTGCTACAATTAAACAACATTTTAATGAACAAGTAGCATTATTTAGCATTACTTTATTTATGCATCATACTACACAGCATCACGACAAAATAGACAGAATGTGGCTGCCACTACACATGCCACAACTCACACAGCGTCAAAACCACCTGCTCGACCTGCACCACCCTCCGTGGGTATGTTAATAAGAAGTGGATGTTCGTGTATGAATAATTATATTTCGGTTTTCTTCTATTCAATTTCTTTTTTTTTTCATTGAAGCTTGTCGAAGTATTATGATTCTAATTTAAGGCACATTTATTTTCTTGGATGATGTAATCAATAATTCGAATGTCATATTATGATACGCTATTGTCCATGTCAATTGACATCTTGTATGCAAATTTATTGTTGCATGATAAGTACCGCTATAATCTAATTATTTGTTGTATTATACTTAATTTGACTTACAAGGAAGATTATAAAAAGTTACAAAATTCTCTGAAACACACAAGATAGAAATTACGAGGTAATAGGACATTTATATTTTTAAGATATTATGTTTTTATATGGTATTTCTTTACATAATGTAATGTTTGCATTATCATAGGGCATATATCTGTGTTTTTGTGTATATATGTATACTTTTATATCACAGCAAGGAAGATGTGTTACTCGTGTACATTTTACTTTACTATTCTCTTCTTATACATATTTATGTTCACACCTATACAACATTTTATACAATAATATAATATTTGTGCCGCAAAAAAAAGGAATCGTGCCTTCTACAAGTACTGCTACTACCACTACTTCTAGTGGTGGTCCTCCTCAAAGACCTGCACCACCCACAAATATTGGTATGTTTCAAAGTGCAAGAAGAATTTGAAAAATAGATACCGATCCCCTTAAGAGTATAATAGACAAAACCGCATGTAAATTTAGATAGTATTTTCTCATGTTTTAAAATTAAATTTTAAAACAAACAAATGATTCCTTTTTGTATTGTATACCAATACGAAAAGTATTACAATTTCCACTGTATTACATACCATACATTTGTGTAATTATAAATTGATTTTGCATTTATTGTAATGCTTTCCAATAGTTATAGCTTTTATATGTTATCTCTTCTCTTTTAATCTTTGCTAATGCATATCTGTTATACATTTAGTGTATTTGTAACCCACTCCTTTCTTAGTTTTATTGAATAATTGGAATTTATGTAATTTCAGGAGCAAACTTTTCACCTGTTACCAGTATTCCACCACCAAAACCAGCACCCCCTTCGTTTCCTAACAGCCCGGTCGCGGCTGGAATGTCACCAATGAATGTTCCACCTGTATCTGCTGCAGTTGCTCCTCCAGTTCAACCCCTGCAATCAATGGCTACATCTTCTGCCATAGGTAAAACAATAATTTTCTGTTTATTTTCTTCTTCTTTTTTCTTATTGATTATTTATATTCTTATTTTATATTATACAAGGACATCGTTATTAGAAATTTTGTTAAGTTGTCAATGATATTGTATTGTTTCTTTGCAGATTTACTTGACTTTGAGTTGTCAGGTACACTATAAGAAATGAATTCGTAGAATATATAATTTTATTATTTTGTATTTAGTTTCAACTAATATGTAATAAAAACTTAAATATTTTTTTAATGATTTGATTTATGTTTTAATGTAAAATCTAATTTATATAACATTTGTGAAATTTTGTAGTATTAATAAGTATGTAATGATATTAACCAAATTACTTTTCATGAATTTCTGTAGACAATAGAGGTATTGAATCTACTAATTTTGGACTTATACAAAAATATCATTCCTACCTGATTGAGATTGAGCAGTTTATATAATTAAATTATCGTTTGATAATAAAAGTCTTCTTGTTTCTTAAACAGGTATGCCTACAGTAGCGCCAATCGCACCTTTAAATACAAATCCAACTCCTGTAGCTGCTTTTGGTATGGGACAAACAATGCAGATGCAACCACTAGCTACTGGTATGATTGCACCAATTACATCTACTATGATACCATCTGTTGCACCAATGCCTGCTGGTACATATTTTAATGTACATTAAATTTAATTCAAATTGTGGTAATAACTGTGTATTATTTTAGGACCTGGTGTTGTGTCAACTCCTCCAAATGTAGGTTTACCTTTAGTATCAGCAACAACAGCAAATAGTACATTAGTTAACGGTGTAATTGCTCAAACACCGGTATCCACTAGTACACCGTTAAGTACAATCGCACGTCCTCCAAGTATAGATAGGGTGGGCTCGGTTGATTCGCAACATAGTCAGCATTCAGTAGGCTCACCGCAGTCCGTAGAGTGGGCTGTACCTCATCAGACAAAGTTAAAATATACTCAGTTATTCAATACCTGGGACAGGACTCGATCTGGATTTTTGTCTGGCCCTCAAGCAAGAAATATCATGGTGCAATCACAGTTACCACAGAAAGTGTTGGCGCAAATATGGTATAACAATATAACAACATATATTAGAAAGTAACTGATTGAAAGATCTTTCTTAACATTTCTATAGAATGTGATTACATTATTAGGGCGTTAGCGGATATGGATTCAGACGGTCGCTTGAGTTGCGACGAATTCGTATTAGCAATGCATTTGTGTGATTTAGTTAAGATTGGCGAAAAAATACCTGCCACGCTTCCAATAGAACTTATTCCACCTGCGTTCAGGCGCCAGCGACAAAGTAGTTTGACACTCTCACAAGGTGGAACAGAAAATATAGATCCATCGGCTGGTATGCCACAAGTAAGTTTAATTTTCATTTTAAGGTTTTGATTTAAAAATCACATTTTATTTTATTTTATTTTTTTTTCAGACCTCTTTCGAGGACAAACGTAAAGAGAATTTTGAGAAAGGTCAAGCTGAGTTAGAACGTAGACGTAAAGCGCTGTTAGAAATTCAACGAAAGGAACAAGAAGAACGCGAGCGAAAGGAAAGAGAGGAAGCGGAGAAACAAGAGAAAATTAGGTAATTTAATCTCATTTTTCATTCAAATGTTTTAGATTAATTATGAAACAATTAATGCAGACTGGAGCAAGAAAGACGTAGGCAAGCAGAAATTGAAAAACAAATGCAAAGACAAAAGGAAATTGAACAAGAAAAAGAGGAACAACGAAAACGAGTTCAAGAACAAAGAGAAGCGGCACGAAAGCAAGTGAAACTTTGTATAAACGTTTGATGTTCTGAATATGAAATGTTAGCAATGTTTAATGATACAAATTCGATTTATTTTACAGAGAAATGGAAAGACAACGACAGTTAGAATGGGAAAGACAAAAGTCACAAGAGCTTCAAACTCAGAGACAAAAAGAACAAGACGTGTTACTTAAGTTAAAAGCAAAAAATCAAACTTTAACTATCGAGCTTGGAACACTCGTAAGTATTGAAGAAATGATCGTTGAAATAATGAAGTTTTACATAATTCGCCTTTGTGCAGAACGATAAAGTAAAGGAATTATCACAAAAAATTTGTGATACCCGAGTGGGTGTATCTGGTGTAAAAACGACAATTGATGGTATGCGATCAACGCGAGACGCACAGTTACAAGAAATGGCTGCCTTAAAGAATAAACTTCGAGAACAAAACCAAAGATTACTAGCTTTGAGTCAGGAGAAAGCTCGCATTGAAGCAAAGAATAAACTAAATATGGCTATGGAATCAGCCGGTCAAGAAGCTATTAAAATGGCATTTGACAATAAGCAAATTACTCTTAAGCAAATGAAAGATAAAATTGCTGATTTACAGCAACAGGTATATATGAACGTACCAAAATTTTTATCAATATATTGGAAATATATTAAATTTATTATTATTTTGTGATACAGATTGAAGCTAGAATGGCTGATATAGAAAATAATAATGGTCAGCTTCAAGATATCAACACTCAACTGACAAATTTAATCACTGATTGCAAGGATCTTTACATCACTTTCGAAGACAAAAAATTAAAAGTTTTAGAACTTAGAGCAGGTGGTGTTACTGGAGCTACTACCGACTATACGACTTCCGCGTGGGGTGATAGTGCATGGAACGATACTACAGGATCAGTGGACGATAGTACTTGGCCTGTTGATGATACTACTACAACGAATGCAGTGGAAGAAACTACTCCAGGAGTTATGAAATATAGAGCTCTATATGAATTTGTAGCTAGAAATCAAGATGAAATATCGTTTCAACCCGGTGACATTATCTTGGTAATGTTATAAAAGTATACAAATACAAGAACTTCGTATAAGTACAAAAATAAAAAAATTAACATGTATTTTAAATAGGTACCTCCTGTTCAAAATACAGAACCAGGTTGGATGGCAGGAGAAATTCGGGGTCATACCGGTTGGTTCCCTGAATCTTACGTAGAACCAGTAGATGCCGGAAGCGGAAATGACAACGCTTTTGTACAACAAGATAGCGTAGAAAAGAGGACTCTAGAGTTAGTTGAATAAATCAAAATTTTAATTAATTTATTCGGATACATGTAATTTATTTTTCTTTATTTTAGGGGAATTGCTGAAGTTCCCGAAAATGTATCCGACGCAGGATCCTTAGGTGGCGAACCTCCAATCGTTGAACCTATTATACCTACCCTCGGATTAGGTATAGCCTGTGATTTACAGGCAACAGCTTTGTTTCAGTATCGTCCTACAACAGAGCAGCATCTTCCATTTGAGAAAGGCGATATTATTAAAGTTATTGAACAACAAGTTAGTATACAAAAATGATTATTTTTGATTTGATATTTAAAACAAATAATGTACGAGTTGTTACATTTTATTATTTAGGGTGATTGGTGGTATGGCTCATCTAACAATGGAAGTGGTTGGTTCTCTAAAACATATGTGAAAGAAATTCCTCCTAGTCAACAACCCGTAGTTGTTGATGGTCTTAATGAATATTATATGGCTCTGTATCCGTATGCTTCGGCTGAGCCTGGCGATCTAAACTTTAATCAAGGAGAAGTTATATTGGTTACTAAGAAAGAGGGCGATTGGTGGACAGGAAGTATAGAAGATAGGGTCGGGGTATTCCCTGCTAATTACGTAGAAAAATGCGATGCCCCAAGTCAGGTAAGTTGAATGTTATTTCATATTCTTTGAAATTGTCTTACTGTTATACCTGGTATTTGTTAACGAGTGACGTTTGATTTTGAAGTTTGATGTATGTAACATTAATCAGGATGACCCTATAACTACTAATGTGTCCGAAATAAACACGGATACCACGGTGACTACAGACACAACCACGAGTATTCATGAAACAGCTGCTTCAGTTGCTCAAGCAACATTGGTTTGTAACACTCTAATTCTAATATTTCCAATTTGTAATTATATAAAAATCGTATTTGTCTCAAATTGTAAATAGATACTGTATGTTTTTAAAATGCTTAGTAAATTTAACTTTGCGAGTATTACGTTAGTAGATTGTAAAATATATAGTAAGCTAGACGCCTATGTATCACACGTTTAGCAAACTGAAAAGACTGCTGAACAGCTAGAAGATGAAAGAGCAGCAGCGGAAGATAGAGCAGAATTGCCAGATTTTACAGCAATGGCTGCCCAGCAGGTAATGTTATATTTGCTTATGCTATACATGTAACCTTAGAACATACCTATAGTATTAATTATTTGATGAAATTTAATTGCTCCCATTTGATTTTTATTGCTGGCATCCTGTTACTGCAGTATTACAAGGTATTTCTCCTTTTATCAAATGTAATTGCTAATTAGCTTATTCCATAACTTACTCCTAACATTTGGCCTTGCAATTTCATAAATAACAATTTAAATTTTTAATACTTGTAGAATATGTAATATATATGTAAAAAAAGAATGTGATAAAAATTTAGTATCTCTTCATAACATATTTTTTTTTCAATACAGAGAGGAAGGAAACCTGAAATTGTACAAGTCATTGCACCTTATCAAGCTACAAGTTCTGAACAGTTAGATTTACAAAAGGGACAGTTAATAATGATACGTAAAAAGACGGATAGCGGTTGGTGGGAAGGAGAATTACAGGTATAATTGTTTATTATTCTTCGTTCTAAATTTAATAATTCTAAATTTCTAAATTGTTATAATCGTCGTATCTTACCATCAATTATAAAAATATTTCTATAGGCGCGTGGTAAAAAGAGACAAATTGGTTGGTTCCCAGCATCTTATGTTAAACCTTTAACTAGTAGTAGCAATCGAAGTACACCTGTTTCTCATGGATACCAGGACTCTCCTACAGATCCCAATGTTGGTAGGTACCATTAAATTCAGTATAAAACCTTAATACTTTTCAAATGTATTAAATATGAGGTAAAACAGTAACTTACTTTGCTAATGCAGAACGTGTTATGGCATTATATCCATACCAAGCACAAAACGAAGACGAATTAAGCTTCGAGAAAGGTGACGTTATAACCGTGCTTGCAAAACAAGAAGCCGCATGGTGGAAAGGCGAATTAAATGGAGTATCCGGCGTTTTCCCCAGTAATTATGTATCTCCCATGTGTAAGTATTATTTATTTTTCGTAGTTTCACATTTCATTTACATAATTTAACATCTTACTTGCTAGAAATGTTCACTAAGAACAGTCATACAGAAATTGTATAACAAACTGATACTATGAAAGTTAGTTGAAATAGTATAGTTATGTAATTTCAACTTTTTATACACGGATAGACGGACGACCGTCAGGTTTATTTTTCATCAGTGGTTTTATTTAATACGTAAAGTAGTATTACAACAATACGACGGTCGTTTAATAGGACCAGATACTTAACAATTTCTTTTATGTTACCATTTATACCTGTATACATTTTTACAGTACATATGTATGTAAATAAACATATTTTTAAATATGTTATTATCATAAACTCACTAAAAACATACACACATACGTAATGTCTGTGTTAAAATAACATTGCACATTTATTTATAACCGAAATTAGCTATAGGTTACAGGCATAAATAAGACTAATTAAATATATGTCAACATACTAAACTGTCTGTTTCTCATACATAAATATTGTATTTCAATTGGAAACAGCGGTTGTTTGTTAAATCATTATTATCTACATTGGGCGTTGCGTGTGCTTTCTGCTCTGATATGCCTGCATTGAAATCCGCACTTTGGCTTGGAAAGCGGTATATCTGTAATATAAAATAATCGTTATTTCATTTCTGGTTTGTCTATAACGGATAGATTGCAAATAAATCATTAGAGGAGTATACTTTCTCCATTATACAGCCTGCCTGTCTGCCTGCATGCCTGCCTGTCCGTCCGTCTGTCCGTTTGAGGTAGCTGCTTCGTTTCAATACATTATCTGCAAGATTTATTGTACTAGAAAATGTAAATGATTTCGTACAGTGTATTTCAATTTTTTCTGTTTACTACAAATTACTTCAAATATCAGTATTAGCATTGTAAGATAATTAATTGCTACCATAACTAATTATTCTTCTTAGTTTATATACTTTCTTCTAATTTGCTTTGTTAAACCGTTTTTAAGTATTATTTCACAAACCTATCAAATAAAGTAGTGTATAGTATTTTTTAAATGATTGTTTCAAAACGAAATAGCTACTTTGAGCAATTTAAACATCAATTATTTACCTACAATACATGGATTAGTGAAATCTTTTTACTAATTATTATCTTTCGCCTATGCTTAACATGCAGCATAAAGGATAGCAGAGCAGCACCGCAGCATTGCAGGCTAAAATAAAAGCATCTCAAGTGCAATAAGTATGATAGCAGTCTCTACATCGAATACGACGTGTTACAACCAACAAGTCTCATTGGTGGAGACAGTGAGCATAAAAATGAAAAAAAAAAAAAGAAACAAAAAAGAAAAAGACTCAGGGCTGGTACTTCGTTTCTATATTATTCTGAATTGTGCAAGTCTTTTTCTTCCGGTTCGAGATCCTACTCGTTCCTTTGTTTTCATTGCTGTTTAAATGATTACCATGCGTCTCGTCGATTATTATTCCCCAAGTTATTGAACCCCTGTGTACGGTTTCAACATGAATATTATTGCGCAGTATATATGTTTACACGGGAGCGCTAAATATTTAATAACAAGTTGTATCATGAACATAATTACAACCACCTGACGTGTGCACCAAATTCTACCTCAATCTTCTACTTTGATTTAAGATAGAGCTTAAAAATTGAAGAATACAATTTTTTCATCTACTTGTAATGATACTTACTACCAGTATTTAGTATTTAAAATATAAATTAAAACCAAATATATATTTATTTAAGACATTTTATCCTTAGGAAAATTCAATTACAGTTTTTGTTCATGCTAGCACTTTCAGCCCGGAAGTTTATTTTTTATGCATAGGAAGAAAAACGTTAGAGAAATGTTGAAAGAAACTGTTATATTTGAGAATATAGTTGTAGTAGAGCTGAAGCATTTCTTGCTTGGGGCAAAGACAATAAACACGAAACTATTTATCTCTAAAACATTCATACTAATCTATGTATTTAAAAACATCTAAACAGCTTTGTGTGTAAATAAAAATACAAAAAAAAAGAACAACTTTATAGTAAATATAATTATGTGTAAAAATCATTATCATCGGGCTTAAAGTGTTAGATCGATAAATAGATGTACAAGCACTAGTAGTAGTCCTAAATTTTTTATAATCAGTGTCTTCGAAAAGAAATTTTGAAAACATTTAGGTGCTGCCTTTTTCTTCTTATTTATAATTCTTCTTTTTTATTCAGTACTGTAATATATCATTTGGTGCGCAATACAGATGGTTTGTACAGTTATACTGCGTCAAGGCCTAGGGAAATGTTTCACAGCAATTTAAATGAGTAATTGAATATCATTTTTCTGCTTGCCTTCAATGTAAAGGGAGAAGGAGTTGTTAAATCACTTATTGAATATTTCAATTAGATTTTGTCTTCATCATGCAAATCTGTATGATGAAGAATCTGTTATGATATATAAAAAATATTTGCTTAATCTCAAAATTATTAACAGTTATACAGTTTATTTTTTGTTCAGATTCAAAATTTTATATTATAAAAAACTGAAAAGAGATTATGCATAATATTTACAAGGACAATTAAAGTATAGCTCTCTTTAAAATACGAACATGTTTAACCAAATCTGTTGTTCCTATTTATTTATTCTATATACACATATATATAAATACATATATAGTTATTATTTGTTTTTCTTTTTTTTTTTTATGTCTTAGTAGCGATGGAAGATGATGTGCTCCTTCTTCGCAGCCTTTTATTATAGAGCCTAAATCATCATTAAAATATCAATCATCAATAATAAAAAAAATCATGAAGTTATAGATAGAAATTATTACCAGTGGTGGGAAGAATTTGTTAATTAATGTTATATGTAAACCAGTTTTTCCATCAATCGAGTCCTGAGTATCAGTTTGTTATTTACAAGTAGGACGTATAAATATTGTAAAAATGTGTTGATTTATTTGTATTATTATTATTTATATTTATTATGTTAATTTTACGAATTTCGACTGTAAGATATTTAACTATCTTATTGTCAATATAACAGTCATATTTGAAATAACATACTGAAATATTCCTTATTTTCTAGTGTTTTTCATAGATTTTGCTAAATATTTATTTGATGAAATAATTAAATATGTTACTTATATTTATTATTCATTCCATTAACAAAATTCAGGAACTTGATGGAATAACTAGTTTAAAACAATTGCAAGAACCAAGCGCACAATAGATCAGCATATTTATACACTGGTTGATCCTTTTACACGTTCTATATAACACTTTGCAAGCAAGGTGTATAAATATGTCTGGTCAGAACAATAAATATTGTGTGCTTAATATTAAGTATTCTAGATGCGCCCATAATCTTGTAATCTTTATCTAAACATGTTGACAACGTGTAAAGCAAGTTATGCAACTGGTTATTCTTAGATGAGATACTTGTGTAGAGTGCTATATCCTTAAGATTGTTACTATTTGCAAAATATCCATATTGTTTGTTTGTTGTAATGTCGAATCTCATTATGAATCTTGATTGTGTGTGGTGTACTTTGAGCGAAGGACACTGTAAGGGTGTGAACAAGTTCAGATTATTATGTATTTATTACGGATTTTTGTTCACACTTTTATGTGAATATACTCTAAATTTCTCACATGCATATATACACGCCGTTCTTATACATATGTACACATATCCATACATAATATACAGAGGTGTTCTCAAAACTGCTGATTAAAATAAAGTATCTGTCTGTTGTAAACTATTGTTGTGTATAACAATTCTGTATTTCTTAGTGTAAACCCAACAACCAAAGTAAACATCTAAGTATTATTTTCAAGAACATTTTAATTTTCACCTTGTTGTGTTTAGCTCCTAAATTATATCTCAGTTACTTACTTAACTTAAACAGAAATAAACTGGAGGAAATATTTTATGTAATAGAGATAATAATATGTACACAAAGTGGAAAAAATGTCTTGTATACATTTTATGTGTAGCTAATGAGATGACAACTGACTTATTAATGGCTGGATTGGATTCAATGGAAAGAAAACGGCAAGAATACATCAAAGAACTTATCACAACTGAACAAGCATACATAGAGGACATGAGACTGGTTCACGAGGTATTATCAAATATTTAAAAGCAATTTTCTCTATTTTATACTTAAATTTATATCTGACAGATTGATTATATCTTTTCAGGTGTTTGAGAAACCACTTCTTGAAAGTTTAGTTTTAACTGTGGATGAAGTGGATAAGATATTTGTTAATTGGAGAGATATTATTGCCTGCAATGATAATTTTTTAAGGTATGATATTATTATACGTTATATACAAAAGATAATTATTCATTAGTTGCTATTTTTCAGAACATTAAGAATCCGACGAGATAACAGCGAAGGAGGAATTGTTAGAATGATTGGAGATATTTTGTGCGAAAACGTAAAGAAATACCTTTCCTTGTACATTTTAATATTAGACTTGCAATTCTCTATATACATATTTCTTTTGTGTTTTAGATTCCAAGAATGTCAGCCTACATTAGATTTTGCAGTTGTCAAATTTCAGCTGCTGTTTATCTTCAAAGATTGACTGAAACAGTACCAGAATTTGTGAAAGTTGCACATACTTGTCAGCAGGATCCACGTACAAAAGGAATGCCCCTAAGTTCTTTTTTAATAAAACCAATGCAAAGGATAACGAAATATCCCCTTATTATTGGCAAAGTACCTATTATTTTTGCATTATTCATTTTCTTTCATATTTGTTATCTTATTATCAAAATTAATTTAGATTTTGGAACACACTCCTGCTGATCATCCTGACAGGCAATATCTTCAAGAAGCATTGGCTAAAGCAGAAGAATTTTGTACCCAGGTACAACTCTCACTAAATTTTTCATTATTATAAATCAATCTTATAGCATTAATTTATATTTTCATCATAGGTAAATGAAGGAGTTAGAGAAAAAGAAAATAGTGATAGATTAGAATGGTTACAAACACATGTGGCTTGTGATGGGCTGGAAGAACAACTTATTTTTAATTCTTTAACTAATTCTTTAGGTCCACGAAAACTTCTTCACTTTGGTATACTCCATAAGGTACAGAATTTTAATTATTAAATTTATCCTTTTGATACAATAACTTGTATACTGTCTTAGGCAAAAAGTGGCAAAGAACTTGTTGGATTCCTTACAAATGATTTTTTATTATTTGCTCAACCGACGGTTACGAAAAAGTCATTATCCGGTGGACAACAATTCTCATTTGAACGAAACGAACATCAAAAGTTCAAAATGTATAGAAAGGTATTTGATATATGCACATATATCACATGTGTAAGAAAACAAGACTCTTAATCTAATTACTTCTATTTTGCAGCCAATCTTCTTAAATGAATTATCCTTCTTAGGAGAATCAGATACAAATGGGACTGTTGGCTTAAGTTGGGGCGAGTACACTGAAAACTCTTCTAGATTACTTAGGTTGAGGGATCAAAAGAAGCCGATAATATTATTGGCCCCATCTCCAAGTGAATGTTCACTATGGACTAGAAGACTTACAGAAGCAAGGAAAAAGTTTATAGAAAACGAGAAAACACGTTTACAAAGACAACGATCAAGTGAGACATATTTTCATTATTTTTTTTTTCTTTTTCATATATTATTATTTGTTAAACCGTGAGTCTCTTAATGTACTTGTCCTTATGCCGCTGCACCGATAAAACATATTTTATACTTCGTTAATTACTTGACATTTAATAACATATAATGTATGTGAGTAAACAGAGCAGGCGCAGTTTGGAGCGTGTGGCAGAATTCTCGTTACAGTGCTTGAAGGTTTCAATTTAAAGACAATACCTGGTAAGCGAATGTGTACGCTTTAGATGCTTATTTTCCTTCTGCACGTATCTTCTGCTTGCTTATGTTTGCTTGCTTTTCTATACGAGCTTGAAATAAAAGGAACCAGCACAGTCTCGCGTCTAAAAAGAGGAAAAAAATCATCGATGATCATTTGTATCAAAATTACGCTATTTAATTGCATGATGCATTTTTATTAACAAAAATCTGGCATGATTATAGCTCGCAGGAGACGACCTGAAGGTAGACTTCGATTAGTAGTTGTGGAAGCTGAAGATATTGTAATAAAGAAAGGTAAAATTTTCTGTTTGCATGTAACTACCTCATAAGTTTATGAATGCCCTTGTAAAGGTGAACTTGGAAATAAATACAAGATTATTAGGTTGAGTAATTCAGGAATATTTTATAGCAAGACTTCACTTTTGCTGTTTTCTTACTCTTCGCATGCACCTTCTTTATATCTGTAGTTTATACAAAAAATTAATCTTTAATGTAGACTTTATATAATAACATTATTATTCTTACACATTGGCTTTGAACTTAACAATGCTTTGCAATTGCAATGTACAAACGCAACTTATGCCATTCTTAACAGTATGCCCACTAATCTTATTCCGTATAACAATCAGAGTGTTGGTAAACTAAAGAATAAATGAATTAAAGAAAATCATTTTAATAGGCAAGTGCAATACATTTTGCAAAGTGAGCATGGGTTCGCAAGAAGAAAGAACGGGCGTGGTGTCAGGGACTGATTGTCCTCTGTGGGATACATCGATGCAATTCCAAGTAAAGGATTTACTTGAAGATACTTTGTGTATAACAGTTTTCGATAAAGGCTATTATAGTCCAGATGGTAAAATTAATTTTTCTGCTTTAAATACGTACAATTATAAATTTTTCATCGTTAAAACAAACGTTATTTATAGAATTCCTTGGTCGAGCGGAAATCAGAGTTGCTGACATAATGAGAGACAGTAGAGATTCCTGTGGACCAATTCAGAAACGCATTCGATTGCACGAAGTTGAAAGAGGCATTGTTGTATTGAAATTAGATCTTATACTGTTTGGCAATCGGTAAAAAGACTGAATTACTTAGATATTATAATTATACAGTTATAATTATTACTGCCAATACAACTTTTTATATTTCTACTCTGTAAGTTCATATTGTAATATAACTAACAAATAGTAATGTACGATCAGTAGAGGTAGAAACCGATTTTTTTTTATATGAGAATATTTATTATACTTTATGTAAAAGATGTCAAAGTAGATATTACTTGATACGCATTTTTTTTTAATTACAAGGGACTGGTATCCAGTGTAATCCTGGAAGTTAACTCATAAGAAAAATATTTAGTTTATACATCATATACATTGTATAGAATTCCATTGAATCGTTTAAATTCTTGTCAACGTACAGTATTATTGTTATTGTTATAATATTTATAGTATGTAAGTGAAAAACATTTATTTTTTTATATAAAAACATGTACAAAATGTTAGATGGGCATTAGTATGAATAAAAGGGCATGTAACGAATAACTGAAAAATCATTTATGAATATAGTTGCAATTATTAACAACAGTAGTTTCAATACATTGATGGATTTAAAGCGAAATAAATAATGTATACATTATTTATGCTGACTGATGTGTGAAAATGTTTGAGATATCTAATATGAACAGGATACAAATCTACATATACAAAACATGAAAATTTATAATATATAGGTGAAATTTTATAAATTACTATATGTAGCCTATCGATAAAGTATATAAATTAATATAAATATAACATTTCTCGGTATTTCTTTGCGATCGTGTTTAAGAGGATTACATGCAAAGTGGTGCAAATACTACTTCATTATTAACTGATATAAAATATTATATTATTAGTAAGTATAGTAATTAGCAAGTATTAAATACTTGCACCTCGTTGCATTTAACCCTTTGCTTGAAGCTTAACGATTCAGAATCATCAAAGGATGTAGATGTAGATGTTCAGACTTATAATTAATTTGTTGCCCCTCCCAAAGAAGACAACAAATCGCCCCAGTCACCAGTGTACGAAGTCTCGAAACATTTAGTTCTTCCTTTGAAACAACGTTCCATTCAGCATTATTCTAATACTAAGATCCTCGTCGTGACTTAATTCAGAACCAAGTCGACCTATCTTTGAGAGAATAACAATGCCAAGAAGACCGTGAGAACAGTCAACGAAATATTCGAAACTAAGCTTATCATGAAGAAGTTTCTCTTCATCAAACCGTCGAATTAACAGATTGCTGAACAGACGTGACTGCCTCTGAATTATCATCGCCGGATTCCCTACGTTCTGCTCGGTCCTCGTCTTGCGTTGGAAACTCATAAATCGGTTTGAATCCACCGAACAACTGCGGTTTGAAATTCTCAACATCGAATTCGCTCTTCTCTGTCTGAGACTCTTCCGTGTCCGAGGGATTCTCCAAGGAGTCGCGATCCTCGTCCGATTTCCTGTTCGCAGCAGGTTCCACCATAACAACGCTCCAGCCATTCTTCGAAGGTGCTTCCGCGCTTACGCTGGCGACGAACGGTGCCATGAAATTCTGCGGGGACGGTGCTGAACTCGAGGAACTAGATGGTTGTTGAGAAGGTAAGAGAACCGGCTTCTGCTCGTTTTTCTCGCTCTTTGAATTATCCTCCTCGTCCCGTACATCTACGTCCAGTCGATGAGATGCTTGCGCCGTTGGCGTGTAAACAAAAGCGATCGGCGTCGAGGACGGAGGAGATGGACCACGATAGAGGGTCGCTGATATTACCTCGTTCTTCCTCGCCGGGAAAGGTACAAAGTCCTGCAAGTACGGTATAACGTTCACGCTCGAATCCTTTTCATCTTTCTCTTCGTTACTCTCTTTGGTAGAGTCCTCTTGTCTCTGATCACTGGGCACCAACAGTGGTGTCTCCCTCATGCCAGTGACAAGAATCGAAGGATCAGGACGTTCCAGGGGATACGGAAAGTCGGATGCGACAGGACGGCTGTTGAACATATTCTGAACAATTGGACCTGATTCTTCGTTCATCTCTTGCTCCTCGTTGTCCTGAAGAAGCGTCTCCGGTGGTAGAGGTCGATGAGGACCCCGAGTTCCAACTACCACGCTCTCGTCCTTCTCCCTGGAATCATCAGGGTGTATATTTACCGCGGTGTTCACAGGATAAACCACGTAAACCGGTGGCTCGGCAATCGTTTCACGCTCGTCGAACTTTCTCCTGTCCGCATCCTGGTCGGTCAGAATCCTCTCCGACTCGTCGTTGGTGTTCGTACCTGTTGACGAAGGATTAGACTCTGTATTGTCTTCTTCGAATTCTCCATGGTGCTGGATCATTTGAAGAGTAGCCACGTGCGGCGGATCCGCGGTTCTACGTTTCGGAAATATCGGTGGTCTTGGAGGAAGTTGAGGCGGTTCCTCCGAGTAACGTTCCGATCTCTCCTCCTCTTCCAGTCGCAGTTTCTGACTGGACAATCGTTGCGCCAACTTGACGTCGTCCTCGCCTCTGGAGGTGGCCGGTATCGGCGGAGGGCGAAACCTTTTTACGGTTGGCTCCGGCTCTCGAGGAGGTATCACGTTCTCGGTTTTAGTTGAAGCTGCGGCAGCAAGTCGAAGCGCGTGAATCGGTGGCGGCGGAGGGTTTAACCTTTGAAGATAGGACGGCGGTGGAGGAAGAGGTCTTCTGGTAGGTGGATGAGATTGCACGGGTTGCCTTATCCTGGTGGATGGATAAGTTTGACCAGCAGGAATGGTACCGATGCTTTCCGATCCTCGATGACCGTGAGACGTTTTAGCGTTTGGCCGAAACTGTGGAAGAATATTAGGCAAATTAGTGTCAGGGGAGTAAGGACGTCTTCTTATCCCTACTGCTTCCGAAGGAGGAGGAGGTGGGAAAGCAGGCGAGGGTGGTTGCTTTCCACGCGGTGGTATCGGAAGCCTTTGAGGTCTGGGATGATCAGGTCTCGCTGTACCGCCATGATGGTAATGGTAATGGAACTGTGGAGGTGGTCTTGGTCGCTCGGTTGGTGGAGTCAAGTCTTCTGAAAGTTGTGGAAGATGTTCTTCGTTAAGCACAGGCGGATTCACCCTAACAGGTTTTTTCGTTGTAGAAGAAGCGGTGATCTCGTGTACAGTGCCATCGGCTTCGTTTATAACGACGATATGCTCCTCGACCGGCTGTTTGGGTTCGTCTTTAGGAAACACTACAAAGTTTACGTCTTTATCGTCCTTCTTATCGTCTGCCTGTTCCATAAGCACGGTACCCTTCACGAATGAATTCTGAGGCCTGGAAGGTTCTATCTCGTTGCCTAACTTCTGACTGGCAGAGGGATTTGGTTGTCGCCAAGCTTGGGGAGCATAGTTAGGATTGTTCTCCAGGACAGATACCGAAGGCAAACCAATGGTACCCAGGTGATCCGTTTGTAGATCATAGTTGCCTTTATCGGATTGGACACCGTAGAGAGGTCGAAAGGAGGTATCAATACCAGGGGAACCAACATAGGGATTCTCTCCAATAGCCGTGCCCACTGAATAATATCCCCCTTCGACGTTTTGTCGATTGCCAAGAACGAAAGATACCGTATCCTGATCAGGTGGTATGACGATATTACTGGTGCTCTCTACTACGTATCCTCCGCTCAATCCACTTGGTCTCTGTCCAACAATGGGATTTGGTCGATAATTTTGGTTAACAATAACGTTGTCCGCGATACCCTGTTTTCGGTTATCGTTTTCAAAACCCGATGGGAATCGAGGATCGTTATCCAAAGGCATGGATGTTACCGGACGTTGCGGCAGTGCTTGAAACGGTACCGAATTTGTTTGATAAGTATTCTCTTGAAGCACCGACGAAGAATGCGTGCTGGATGCTGATGGAGTTGCTGTGCTTGTAACAGCAGTGGTAGACACAGGAGTTTCTGGGGTACCAACAGTTGTTCCTGTCACGTTTGAAACAGTGGACGTTGTCGCAGGTAATGTACTGGTCTTGACGATCTCGTTGGTCGAGTCTTTTACTGGAACGTAATCATCTCCATCGTTCATTTCGTAATCTTCGTAACTATCCATATACTCTTCGTGTTGCATAGAAGGCTTCGTCTGAGGATCCCGATTATGCATTATGTTATTCGTTCCCTGATGACGATTATTATACATGGTAGCCTGAAGTTTCTCTATTGGAAGAATATCCTCGTAGTCGTCCAACTGACCTACGAATCTTTTAGTGGTACTTGGAGGCTTCCAAGTGGTTACAACGGGCGCCTTCGTAGAAACGGATGCAGTGCTACTCGGTGGAGGAGGAGTAGTCGTGGTCGTGGTAGTAGTCGTAGTTGTCGTGCTAGTTGTTACAGGCTTGGGAGTGGTAGTAGTGGTAGTGGTAGTGGTAGTAGACGACGGTGTGGTTCTTGGAGTAGTACTAGTCGTCGTGGTGGTTGCAGAGGTCGTTTTAGATACATACGGTTTTCTCGTATGATAGTAGGCCACAGTTTCTCCGTGATAAGGTTTATGATTATAGGTGCTGTAGCTGTTTGAGCCACTTTGTACTTTCGTGTTCGCATAGGAGCTCGATATCAATGGGTACTTGTCCTTGCCGTACTTGTCAGAAGAATAATGAACAGGTAGATTGAGGAAATCGTGAAAATTTGGCGAATACGGATTGATTTCGTTAGGGCTAACATCGACGGTCTCTTTGTTCTCCGCATTCTTCTTTGTATCCTCGTTTGAAAATTCTTTATCGTCTGGTTGTTCCTCGTCGTTCACCGGTACCTGATAACGACTGGTGTAGTTTAACGCTTTCACGGGCGGTGCCTTCTCGAAGTCGATTTTCCCAGTGATCGGATCCTTCTCCAGGGAGAACGGTCTGCCACCGTTGAAGGCGAAAGGATACGGAAGATGATAACGAGGCGCTTCCTCGTCGTTGGACGTCGACAGGGCAACGGTGCTCCCTTCTGCGTCGAGATCCAGGTCAAGGTCATCCAGCTGCGCCGTCCTTGCCAAAGTCGGAGAAGATTCCATCTCTTCCAGTAGAGACTTCGGCGGACCGTTGTCCATGTGTCCGCCCATCAGGTACTCCGAGGAAACGCTGGCCACAAAGGCCAGAGCAATCATCAGGGTCCATGGATTGGGTTGCATCTTTCTTGTCATATCTGAAAATATATCGTTTATTATTTAATTATACTCGTCAGAAAATTTTCATTGATTTTAAACCTGTTTCTTTTTTTCTTCCTCATAATTTTAAGGTCAACGACACTTCAGTTGATATTTATGGAAGTGAGACAGTTATGTAGATGTGCCGCTATATTGAATCGCGTTTCACGAATGTTTTTTTTCTCAACTTACAAACGTGTCGAATGGTAAAGTAAAAGGCCGGAAAAGAGTTTCGTCCCTTGTGTCCTACATTTAATATATCTGGACCTGCTTTCAAACGTGCATGCGGGATACATGTACGGTTCACGATACGCCCACCGGAATCGTGCTATACACCAACGATGTTACTGTAAACGCGTCAGCAGTACGCCTCTTGCATCATTGTTGTCGAATATGAATTGAAATTAATTAACTGGTCGCTAGGCAAGCTTATTTCAACCATCAATTTGAAGTTATATATTTTCATTGTTTCTAACATTGTTTTGAGTATATCCAAATTGATTGATATAAATTTAAATGTATAAAAAGTATATTTGGTCACAATTAACGGATCTCCTTTGATTGTAAAGAATCATCCTCACAATGGAATGATAAACAGGGACAAGTTGGTACATCTTTCATCGAGCGGAATCGCGTTCCAACGCCTAACGGGTTCCTCATTCTCTCCCTCTTTTTCTCTCCACACTCTCCTGTTCCTCAGCTGTGCTTCTTCCGTGACATTCCAGTAACTTTTGTCGAGGTTGTGCCACAATCTCGATCGCTGTATTTGGCATTAGCATTTCGTTACTCGCACTTTCGAGGGAGCTTTCATTGTCACAGATCGGTGCTTTGTCACCGGTGAACATTTCCGGGAATACGTTTCCACCGCGTTTCGCTACATTCTCATCTGATTAATTTATATTCTTGTACGCGATACAATACATGGCTATCTGTGACGATCAACTGCTATTAAGCACACTTTCATCGAGTTCTCGTCTCTGATTCCTCGGTTCAGAAACCCCTGAAGTCGTCCAAGGTCCTCGCTGGTCCATATTATCATAATAATATTCGTTTCTAGCGTGTGTCCGTGACCGTGACCGGCTACGTCGTTTCCTAACTCGGTGACTGGTACACGAAACAGAAACGTTCTGTGTACTGTTGGTCAGAATGACCCACTTCGACGCTCGTTTCGGGGTTTCATACTCGAGAGTAGTTTCGGCTACAGGCTCGTGAATCATTCGCTTTTCCGTGACCAATACCAGGGAAGGAACGTTTGTTCCTGGAATTCATGTGCGACCTCTTTTTCTTCTCTTCTGCCATCTGAATATTCAGACGGTCACTCCGTTAACAATGGTACCTTAGAATTTGTTGTATGCAGTTTTATAAGCAGAAATTTGAAATTATACTTTATTGTTGATGAATTAAAATTACCATGAGATTCTCAGTGACTCAACAATTTCTTTCCTGTTCCTTTTCTCTAGTCTCTTAAATGGTTCCATTACACTTCCTTCCAATTATCATAGTATCTTCAACGACTTAGAAATTCTTCACAGATTTCTCCTTTCCTTTTCTCGCTCACAAGCAATACAATTTCCAGTTAGTCTTCCTAAAGTTGCGGCTCAACAGATAAAAGGATCATCGTATAACCGAAGTTCTCTACTTTGTTCTTCTTTTTAACCGGTTAACCGGTTTCAGATTCAATTTTTAACGCGTTCAAACACGGCTGCGTTTATCTTCTTCCGTGTCGAATGGGCGGAGAGGATTTTTAATGCAGCGTAAACTCGGCCTAATTATAACGGTACCATGATTGCAGAATATTCTAATTACACGCTGTCTACGTGAAATTCATAGCAAAACTATATCATCGGATGTACAAAAAGATCAAGTATGATTCTTTACTGATTTACAACTGAACAGTGGACCATTGATACATTGATAATTTTAATTAAAAATTTTCAATAAAAGTTAAAAAAAAGTATTACAGATTTTCTATGATCATCATCGCAAAAATTAATTCTTATCACCGTTTGCGGGAAACCTGTTTGTTTCTTTTTACCAATGTCATCAACGATCCACGTGCATTTACACGTAAGTTTACCTGAATTGAATGAAACTGGATATCCTTCGGTGGCCGAAAAACGACTTGGCCTTGACAGTCACTCACTGCCCCATGTGTGAACTTCAATTACCTTTTAGCTCGTCACTCTCGGTTTGTTCTTTCTTTTCCTCGCGAGAAGAAGAGGAATCGAATCGCGAGCACGACGAAGGTGATTGAACGTGCGACGAGGCCACAGAAGCTTGTAGCCTTGCCAGAGGATCACTCGACGACTGAAGAACTTCGACGTCCAGGTGGTAGAAGGAAAACGAGGTGGTGGCAAGAGCACGAAGAGGTGGAAAGCAAAGGGACGTGGATGAAACGATTGTAAGAAGAAAGAAGAAAGTACAAAGAACAGAGATGAAAAGAAAAAAAAAAACGAACCTGGAGATTCTCCTGCGAGGAATGAAAGTACAATTTCATTGAATTTTAATAGGTTCAATTTTGGTAACATTGAAACAGGAAACTTTCAGGATACTTTGCTCCGCTTCTATTGCTATTAATTAATATTATAATCATCGATGAAGCACAGATTTCCAAAAAAAATGTTTCTTCTTTCTTTTGACACTGAGTGCAATTAGAGCCAATCCTTTCTTTTCCGTCTACTGAAAAACGATGGGTTTCTTTAATATTCATGAAATATTAGTGGTTAATATTTTATTTAAAATATGTAAGGAGTTCAAGTTACTTTAAGCATTTTTTGGGGAGTAAATTTCATGAAAGTAGCGTCTGATTATGTATGCCAACTTTTTGTTTGAACTCTTGAATATGTTTGTAACATTGACACAGCTTGCAATATCGACAGATCAGGGACAAACTTTCTAAGCTTTTCTCAACGTGTATCAATTGAAAAGATTTCCGTGGACGTAGTAGCGATCGATAGGATCAAGAAGTAAGAGGAGAGGTAAGACACTCTTCCGTTCCTTGATTACCAATGGTGGAGGTAAGAAAGAGAAGGAGTTGGATCTGACTAATGGACGGCACAGAGTCGACGGAACGGTACGTGGAACAGTTAGACGACGACCCACATTGCGGGGAGTCGCTCAGGGCCGGCCAACGTGCCAGTTTCTTCAACCTTACCCTCCCTTCGGACAGGCTAAATGCTCTAGGATCATGCTAAAATCGTGTAATCATGGATTTCAATCCCCTCTTTTATTTCTTCATTTCTGAAACCATCTAAGCATCATCCGAATATAATTATCCTTATCGTGGTTTCTCTTCTTCCTCTATTATATTCCTTCTTTTTACTCTTAATATTCTTCCTTACTGATTATACTTCCTTAGTAAGTTTTAAGTTTCATCCTCCTTTACTTTTTCTCGGTTCTTTTCATTAAGATTTATAATTTCCTAATCATTGTTAAAAAAAGTATGTAATGTGCATAAACAAATTATGAAAATAATATTTATTAAGAAATAGATAATTTCATGATATAAATTCGTTCTCTTATAAGATAACAGTATATTAAAAGTTTGATTGTTCTGAAAACTATTTTCTCTTTTTCTTATTTACAACAGACATAGGTGGAGGTAATGGAACCTTCAGTGTAACAAGTTTTTTATCCTCCTTGTTAGGTAAAGCACCAATAATTCTGGCAAGGTCTGTTAACTTTTTCAGCCCCATACGGTGAGTAAATATTGTTGCAAATAATTCTATATCTAATACAAAATTGCAAATTATCAATGCTAATATCATACAATGTATCACTGCTTTATCTTTTACACTGCTTGGTCTCAACCTGTAAATTATTTTAAATCAGTTATATTAAATTATCTGTGATATGTGTGCTATCTGTTTGTACATACCTTCCAGTATTACTTTGAATGCTATATGTATCCATTACATGAGCGTTAACTTGTTCGGAAGATGGACAAACGTCAACGTGCCGTTTTTTAGCATCTCTTATTGGCATATTTAACCACGTTACAACTGCTTGAATATAAATCAATAATGCAGCTTTTTTAATGTTATCTGGATCAGATTTTAACCGTTTCAATGACCAGACAAAGAACTTTGCTTTTCTATACATAAAATACATAATAAATATTAAATAACTGGTAGTAATATTAAAGGAAAATTAATTTTTGAACATCTAACATACCCTTCAAAATCATTAACATCAGTGTTCATAATTTCTGCAGCTCTTTCATACAAAGTTTTTAATGTGCTTTCTGGTACAATATCAAATGCATTGTATACATCTGTTACATTAGTCGCATCTCTATTACAGTGTGGTAATGCTGTGTTTGTAATATACTCATTCTCTGGTAACTGCATTGATAAGTCTGCTCTATCAACTTCAACATCTATAAGAAAAATAAACATTAATAAATAACACTATCAAATTATAATATATATTTTATTACTTTTTGAAAAAATAAATTCTTACTTGATACTGTTTGTTCAAGTTGCTCTTTAACAGAGTCAACATTTATTTTCATTCTTTCATACTGCTCTGTTATACGTTTCGCTTTCTTTGATCCAAACTGTTTATTTAATGTAGCAATATTTTCATCATCAGCACTTTTCTTATTGTCCACTATTGGTTTCCCCAATACTGCATTTACTTGCCATCGTTCAACTTGAACCAGTCTAACTTTTCCTGTTTTCCTGTTGTGGAGCACGAGCATAGTACGCATCAAGTCTTGGCTCGTGTCGGGTTTATAACCTCTATAAACAATTTGCCCATTTGACAAAGCCACCATCGTTTTCTGCTTTTTCGGGTCGTAAAAGAGACCGGTTGACATCTTTTTAGCTTCTTCATCTTTAAGCTCGCCATTCTGAAAATTCACTGTAAAATAATAACATACATCATTCAAGATCCAAAGCGTATAAATGTAAAATACGAATTATAACATTACAGTTTCTTGATTTATAATTTATAATTGAATTTATGGTAATAGCTGATAATTATGATTAATAAAAAAACATAAGAATCATTCAAAATAAGGGTATTATTTCAAAATGTAATCTCATTATTTTTTAAAGCAATGTGCACATGGATATTTGAAGTACTAAGTAATGACTATACCAATGATGGGCTGAACTTTGGTCGAGTCAATGATTACGTCTTCGATAATAGCTTCAATCGGTCGTTTCATTTTTCATAAAATATTGTTTAACTATTTTGTTTAAAAGACTACATTCATTCCGTCCAAAATTTAAACACTGATGAACACTGACTACAGTCACTGTGGAAATATAAAAAGCGCCCTCGCTCGTTGGTTTTATCGCCATTGTTTTATCAGAAATAGGATCACTTTGGTTGCATTTCTAAAGCATGATTAGTGAAATTGTAAACTTATTTTAGAACATAACTCGTATACAGTTTTCTAAAATCTTTTTTTTACAATATCTTGCAACCGATGTGTTGCTTTGGTTTTAATTATCAAACAATTTTCATCTTCAAACAGATGAAAGACTTTAATATTCATTTTATCTGAATATTGATATCACTTGTTACACTCCTGATTTGTCACCCATATGAACTTTCGAGAAGTGTGATATACGCGAATTTTGTCAAACTTCTGAATGATTTGTCTTTAAAAATTACAAGAAATTTGGTCTAATGGCTAACGAAGAAACTGCAGCCCAAACGGGCGGTAATGAAGTATGAATTGTGATTAAATATCATTGATAAAATTAATTTATAACGATGTCCTAATATGAGAAAAAATATTTTTTTACAGATGCCAATTCCAAAAATAAAACACGACTGGTATCAGACGGAAACTCATGTTATTGTTACAATTCTTGCAAAAAATTCAGAAAATGTTAAAGTTGTCTATGAAAAAACTACGGTAAGTATACAGAAATCATAATGGAACAAAAGAAATATTTATCCTTCATTCTGTGCCCATATTAGGCATAATGCTTTTTACAGTAAAAGTAACATTAATCCATTAATCTTTGTTTTTGTTTAGTTAAGTGTATCTGCCATGTTACCATCAGGAAATGAATATACTTTGGAATTAGATTTAGCTCATCCTATTGTACCAGAACAATGTTCACATAAAGTAGTTCCATCCAAAATAGAAATCAAACTAAAGAAACAAGATGGAATCAGATGGACTGTTTTAGAAGGAAACCCAGTTGTACAAAACCCAGTGCAACCTATACCTCGAGGTAAATTATATTATTTATGTTGAAATTATATTACTAATAATACTTGCTCAGAACCATAAGATCAAAACAAAAATTATTTTTTTAAGAGATTCTACAAGCTGGTAACCAGCCACCAAAATATCCTAGTTCTAGTAAAAAGTCACGGGACTGGGATAAGGTAGAAAAAGAAATAGCAAAACAAGAAGCAGAGGAAAAACCAGAAGGTGAAGCTGCTCTTAATGCTCTGTTTCAACAAATATATGGCAGCAGTTCAGATGAAGTTAGACGTGCAATGAATAAATCCTTTGTAAGTAAATTTGTTTTGTAGAAATTTGATAAAGACTATCAAAGTTTGATGTCGATTTTAATATTAAATTATTTCAAAAAACAGCAAGAGTCTGGTGGTACAGTACTAAGCACAAATTGGTCAGAAGTAAGCAAAGGTAAAGTTGAAAGAAAACCACCAGATGGCATGGAATGGAAACCTTGGAGTACATAAGACAGCTAATACAGTTGATATTTAAATTGCTTATTATTTAAAAAGATAATTTTAGTTTATTTTCAATGGAAATACTTTCACAAATATTTAAAAGGCTAAAAATGTATCTAATATTTTTTATCCTGCGGATACTCTTTGTATATTATAAAGTTAATTAGTTAAATAATTGTCTCTATTCGAGTTTTATGTTGTATTTATCCAGTTTATTAAATATACGTATGTATTTTTTGGACAACTTATGATTCCTGTTCTTTCCACAAATGGAAGATGATATAATGTAGTTAAATTGTATGACAACAAACAGTGGAACTTTGTAAGCATATATTAATATCTTTTTACTTCAATGTACATTTATTTACAAAGCATATAGACATAAATAAGTAAAATACTTGAAAACCATTAATAACTGCCATTAATCTTTAACCTATCAGCATTTTAGCTATTGTATACAAACCAACAAAGCACAGTCCTAATACAATATAAGTTGTTTGCATTTCTTTTAAAGTATTTGTATTTAGTTCTTTAGTAACTACATTTATTTTTTGTTCATTGCTATTGTTATTATCTAATCTTTTAATAACTTCAGAAAATAATCTATTCATATTATTTTCTAACGAATTTAAATTATTTTCAACTACACTTTCATTTCTTTGTTGTGCTTCAGCTATGACATTTCGAATACTTATTATTTTACTATAATTATATGTCATTGAACCAATCAATGATATAATTGCTAATACAGCAGATGCAAGAATAGACAGGTATTTATACTTCTGTGCATTCATTGTTTGACTATCATGATATTCTTTGATAGCAGTTGCTAATAATGTAAAATGATCTTTTTCTTCTTTTTCTAATAAATCAAGCTGTGATACAATTTTTGCTTGATCCTGAAGACTTTTGTTTTCTATTATTGTTAACTGCACATATTTTGGATCATCCCGTTTAGTTTGAATGAGTTCAGAATATACTTCTTTTAATTTATTATTTATCAGTGTTGCTTGACGATTAAGATGTCTTCTATTATCCTGACATTTGAACAATTTGTCTTGAGCCGTAATTACTTGTTGCTTGGCTAATTCAACTGTATCTAAACCTGTTAATTGTTGATACCATTGCCACCATTTTAACACTTTCTTTGGTAATAAACTTGGTTCTAATTGTGGTGCATTCAAATTTTGCATTACAGTTATATCTTTATTGATTTGCTGAAATACATAAAATAAATTTAATTCAATATAACACACATTACAACTTAAATTGCATCAGCACTTACAAATAATTTAAACAATATTATTACAATTGATAGTAACCAAATTCAGTTCCTCCTTTTTAATCATTAAAAAAAAATATATATGATGATACCTTTGAAACAACATCATATTTTGCAGCAACAGCATTTTGTACATTATTAAATTTTTCTTGTACCCTTCCTGTGGCATTATTGATCCTTGTAGTTGCATTATTAAACAATTGGTGTGTATTTATTCTATTAGTTACAAGCTTGATTAATGATCTAAATTTTTCTGCCATTATGTACACATATTTAAAGTAGATAAAAATGAGCAATAATTAAATCAGTGAATTAGCTCAAATTTTATTACAAGTTATAGTCATATTTATTAATTTTCTATATATTTGATGCTTATCACCAAATATAAATCATTTTTTAAAAAATCTTTAGTACATTATAGTTTTATTTTAAATTCGGCTTGAAAGATATTGTAAAATAATTAAAAGAATAACATTGTCGGAACTTATTAAAGACACGTTTGCAACGAATACAATCAGGTTTGGTTAGGAACTTTTGTTGACAATTGTCCTCCGTTTATATAGGAAAGAAAAACATACATACATATATGAAAAATATATTTACATGATACGAATAAGTCTATTTATTTATTCAACAGTTAATTCTGTGTATGTAATGTCGTAGTATCTCATAATTATTTGTTACTCAAAAAATCATTTGTTACATAACCACTAAAGAATTCACTTCTTATTTCTTTTATTTTATTTTCTAGAAAACATCGTTGCTTGTCGATTACATCGAAACAAAATTGCATAATGAAAAGAAGCCTACGTAAAACGACTCAAATAAAACAGATAATTGAGTTGAGTGATTCTGAAAATGATGATAATGTTATAAAGGATGATGATTATGTACCAGAAAAAAAAGTTTCAAAAGTAGATCAAACAAGAAAAAGAATTAGAAAAGATGATCCAAATGTAGATCGTAAAAAAAGAAAGTCTAGCACACTTTTATTGCCTTCAAAGGAAGAACAAACAGATTTAAGAGAAAAGATACAATCTAAAAGAACAAAAAGTAAAAAGACAGTAACACAAGCTATTGATAAGGAGAATGTTAAAGAATTAAAAAATATTCAATTTAATTCTGTACAATGCAAAGAATGGACTGAATTAGATTATGTTTGCGAAAAGAATGGTATTGATAAGCATACTGCTGAAAATGTTATAAAGCTTTTCAATGATGAGAATACAATACCATTTATTGCAAGATATAGAAAAAATATAACTGGTGGTCTGGAGCCGGATAAACTAAGGGCCTTAAAAGAGAGTCTTGATCATGCTAAATTAATTAAACAACGTGCTGCTACTATAACAAAAAGTATAGATAAACTTGGACAATGGTCACCAGAAGTACATGCTGCTATTGTATCTGCAAAATGCTTGGATGATTTAGAACATATATATTCCTTTTTTAAACCTGCATCTAAAGCATCTTTAGCAGAAAAAGCAAGAAAATTAGGTTTGGGACCTGTAAGTGATTCTATATTACAAGGTCACCCATTGCCTCAATTATCATCTCTTATTTCTGACAAGGATGGTTTAAAAACTGAAGAACAGATTAAAGATGGTATTATACACATAATAGCAGAAACTATAAATAAAGATAAAATGGTATTTGACAGAGTTAAAGAGCTCCAAAGCGTATCAATCATAAGTATACAAAGTACAGAATGTAAAAGCAGTAAATCTAAGAATGATAAAAAAGAAGGAGATAAAAAGAGGAAGTACGAAATGTATTATAATTTTGATACAAATACTAAACTCATTAAACCACATCACATATTAGCTATTAATAGAGGAGAAGCCCAAAAAATTTTAAGCGTTAAACTAAGTTTACCTAACTCTTTTGAAGAACAATTTAAAGCATATTGTTTGAAACTGTATAGACAAGCTATGGTAGCATCAAAACTACACACCGAAATACTACATAATAGCATTGATTACGCATATAAGAAATTTATTAAACCATTGGTAACACGTCGCGTTCGAAATGAATTAAAACAAAAAGCAGAGACAGCATCTATTGAAGTCTTTGCGAGTAATGTCAAACAGTTACTTCTTATTCCACCAGTTCGTGGAAAAGTTATACTTGGTATAGATCCAGGATTTTATCATGGTTGCAAACTAGCAGTAATTTCTGAGCATGGAGATGTACTTGATACAAACGTAATTTATCCGCACGGTAGCTCGGATATGTTTGAAAAATCATCTGATATTTTAATAGATTTAGTTAAGAAGCATAAATGTACAATTTTAGCCTTAGGTAATGCTACAGCCTGCAGAGAAACTGAATCATTCTTAGATAAATTGATTAAATCTAAGGCATTTGGTTCATTAGACGTTTTATATACAATAGTTGATGAAACAGGAGCATCAATTTACAGTTGTAATGCAGAGGCAAAATCTGAATTTCCTGATCTTGATACGAACGTAATTTCTGCTATTTCTATAGCAAGACGTTTACAAGATCCACTTGCTGAATTAGTAAAAATAGAACCTAAACATTTGGGTGTAGGAATGTACCAACATGATCTACCCGAGAAACAGTTATTAACTACTTTAAATGAAGTAAATATGAAGTCGTATCTATTTAGTATTAAAAATATGATTATTTATTATATTTCAATAATAATAAATATGTCTGCAGGTAGTTTCAGAAGCTGTAAGTTTTGTAGGAGTGGATGTAAATACTGCGTCTCAATGTCTTCTGAAAAGAGTTGCTGGACTAAATGCAGTCAGAACAAAGAATATTATACAATGGAGAACTGAATTTGGTGCATTCAAAAACAGGCAACAATTGTTGGATGTTAAAGGAATTGGAAACAAAGTGTTTGAACAGTGTGCTGGTTTCATTAGAATACTTCCAGAAACTTCAATGACTGATAATTCAGTAAAAATTAAAGACTCTAAAAAGTCTATACATAGTTTTAATTTATTAGACCAAACTTGGATACATCCTGAATCATATAAAATAGCTGAACGGTTTTTAAAATATTGTAATTGCAATTTAGAAAATCTTGGAACCACAACGTTTATTGAAAAAATAAAATCGCATGCCGATGAAGGGTATGCTGTTTTAGCCGAAAAATGTGGTACGAATGCAACAACAATGGAAATAATAGTAAAAGGCTTGTCTATGAAAAAAGATGAAGATATAAGGTTTAAAACCGCTGGTCCTCTCTTTCAGAAGAATATGATTACTATTGATGATATAAATACTGAAACTGTATTAACTGGTGCAGTCCGAAATGTAACACATTTTGGAGTATTTGTTGATATAGGAGTAGGTACATGCGGGTTAATACCAACCACATTGTTGAACAATTCTACTGTTTCAATAGGTCAACGTGTAGAAGTGAAGGTAGTTGCAAAAGATCCGTGTCGTAATAGGATTACTTTAAAATTAATTAATGTTTTATAATGTGTTCCTACCTGTATATGTATTTTGTATTTAATTTAATTTGATCAATTTTTCGAGAATAAATTTTATTCTATCACGGAAGATTCTCTTTTACGGAACATAAAACATAACTTTTCAAGGATGGATAGTCTGACATAAAACTAATTTATTGTTTCCCTTTTATAGAATAACGAAGTATTACACGTTGGACCAGCATTTGCATATTTCACACACGATTTGCTACAACTAATAATAAATCGTCCCTTATCGTCATCGCGCATTGACCTAGAATTAATCATTTTATCTGTTCTATCCCTTTATAAATTCTTTTCATGAAATAATGGGATTTTGAATAAGTTGCGCGAATTTCATTCGATACTAC